TGTTAGCTAAATGACATACCCACCTGTGTCATGACAGTTCAGAGCTTAACAATAAAAGTCCAAAAAGTGAGCATGGTTCAATTCCCGGAAATGCCCACCCTCTCCCATGCCCCTCCTCCCTACAAACAGTTGAAATAATCCTCCCACTCATTAGCCTACGAAATAGTCCAGCCCTTATTTCAGGGCCTCTCACCATCTGAGATGGCCCACACTCCGGAGTGAGGGAGTGAAAGTAGCTCAATCATGCCCGACTCCTTGTGACCCCATTGACTGTAGCCCACCAGGCTCCTCTGTTCATGGGATTTCCCAGGCAAGAATACTGGAGTGGATTGCCATTCCCTTCTCCAGGGGATCCTCCCAACCCAGGGATCAAACCCAGGTCTCCCGCATTACAGGCAGATTGTTTACTGTCTGAGCTACCAGGGAAAACTCTCCACACACTCTGTGAAGGCCATCCTAAATAAATCTACTTCTTACCTATCAGTTTGTCTCTCACTGAATTCATTCTGCCAGGAGACATTGAGAACCTGAGCGTCATTAGGTTCTAGGACCAGGTGTGATCTCAATTAAAAGACTGTAGGTTCAAGTCCCAATCTGAGTTGCACGGTTTCAGTACAAGCAAAGAATTAAGAAGTTTCAAAAGAGGAAAAGTATTTCTCATTTAGGAATTGTAAAGTGTTGAAAAGGAGGAGATGGCCTGTGAAATGGCCTGAATCAGCATATCTCAAACTTGACTGTGGATCTGTTAAAATGTAGATTCTGGGGACTTCCCTGGTGGTTCAGTGGTTAAGATTCTGCCCTTCCAGTGCAGAGGGCAAGGGTTTGAGTCCTAATTGGGAACTAAAATCCCGCATGCCTCCAGATGAGACAAAAAGAAAAAGAAAAAAGCAGATTCTGATTCAGTAGGTGGTCTGGAGCTTCACTGTCTCCCTTTTCCCAATCTCTGAAGAGATTCTGTTCTTCTATTGCAGAAAACTCTTAAATTTATATATCCAGCCCAGATTTTCTTCCTCAAGCCCCCAGATGTAATTCAACTGCCTTCTTGACATCTCCCTCAATATCTCATAGACACACCAAACTTACCATCTGCAAAATTAAACTTTTTATTTTCTGCTAGAAGAACTCCAGCCTTAGTATCTCAGTAAATGAAATTAACATCTATCCACTTATGGAAGTCAGAAGGCTAAGAATCATCCCTATCTCCTTTTACCTCCCTCCCATATCCAATCCATCAACAAGTTCAGTTACTTTTATCCTCCAAAAATATCTCAAATCTGTCTCTCCTAGGTGATCACTCCAACCCTGCACAACAATTCTAACAGATCTTACCTCTCCTACTCTCACCAGCCTCATTCATTCTCCACATAAAAGCCAGAGCAATTTTAAATAATGTAAGTCAGATTTTAATCTCTGCTTAAAAGACTTCCATGACTTTCCATGACATTGAATAAAATCTAAGCTTTTTTTATCACTCTGTATCTTTGTATCCATTAGGTACTCATGGCCCACTGCCTAGAGGTTGAGATCTTGTCGTGGACCTAATAAAAAACGTTTGGGACAAGAGGAAAAAAAGAAGTAGCTCCAAAAAAAAAGAGATTCTGTTCTTCTATTGCAGAAAACTCTTAAATTTATATATCCAGCCCAGATTTTCTTCCTCAAGCCCCCAGATGTAATTCAACTGCCTTCTTGACATCTCCCTCAATATCTCATAGACACACCAAACTTACCATCTGCAAAATTAAACTTTTTATTTTCTGCTAGAAGAACTCCAGCCTTAGTATCTCAGTAAATGAAATTAACATCTATCCACTTATGGAAGTCAGAAGGCTAAGAATCATCCCTATCTCCTTTTACCTCCCTCCCATATCCAATCCATCAACAAGTTCAGTTACTTTTATCCTCCAAAAATATCTCAAATCTGTCTCTCCTAGGTGATCACTCCAACCCTGCACAACAATTCTAACAGATCTTACCTCTCCTACTCTCACCAGCCTCATTCATTCTCCACATAAAAGCCAGAGCAATTTTAAATAATGTAAGTCAGATTTTAATCTCTGCTTAAAAGACCTCCATGACTTTCCATGACATTGAATAAAATCTAAGCTTTTTTTATCACTCTGTATCTTTGTATCCATTAGGTACTCATGGCCCACTGCCTAGAGGTTGAGATCTTGTCGTGGACCTAATAAAAAACGTTTGGGACAAGAGGAAAAAAAGAAGTAGCTCCAAAAAATTTTGTTTTTTTCTGTCTAGTCTTTTAATTCACTTACACATTTAAAATGTATGTGTATATACATATATACAAACAGAATAAACTTGGAATCAGATCATAACTTTCTTAAGACTTAACTTTATAGCCTATGTCATTAAAAAATCTTTGAAAGGATATTTTTAATAATGGACAAAGTTGTAGTGTGAAGAGGCATAATTTATTTAATCATTCTCATATGATGAATGTTTGCAGAGTTTTTGCTGAGTCTTAGGGTTACCATTCTCATGTATAAACCTTTTATAACATCTCTGATTTTTCTTATAAAACATTTCTAGAAGTGGGATTATTAGGTAAATAGGTATGAATATTTTTGTGGTTCTTGATGGATCTTGCAAAACTACTTTTCAAAAGTGCTCATTAAAAAAAAAAGTGCTCATTTGCTTGACAATTGACCCTCTGGACTGTCTGGAAATTTGGCAGTGTGTTCATCACATTGCAGAACAAACACATGTTTTTCTACCTGGCTTACAGTGGACACTGTGTGAGCCCACGGCCACCTTCTCCTGTGTGGCCCTTCTAAAGACCCCTGCAAGCACAGTTCACGCAGCACTTGTTTCTCAGAGCCAGCAATCTAAAGGGCTAGGTGCTCTTGAAAGAAATGCAGCTGCATGAGGTGACTTTGTCCGGGTCAGCTCCATGAAGGGCTCCAGAGCAGACTGCAGAACCAAGAAACAGGGGGCACTCCAAAGAGCTCATATCTGAGGAAACACTGCATGCTCAGTCGCTCAGTCGTGTCCAACTCTTTGTGACCCCACGGACTGTAGGCCGCCAGGCTCCTCTGTCCATGAGATTTCCTAGGCAAGGATACTGGAGTGGGTTGCCATTTCCTTCTCCACAAAAGATTCTGTAAGTCAAAATTAATGAATGTCTGTGACTACATGATATAAGTCAATTAATCCTAAATTTCATCTCAACCATTATGAAGTTACTTATATATTTTATTTTACTGAGGAATGTGGATACATCTTAATTTCTTGCATATAATGTGGAGTGGGTCTGCAAAGACAGGAATTTGTGCTGTGTCTGACTCTTAGTCCGCCAGACTCCTCTGTTCATGGGGATGCTTCAGAAAAGAATATTGGAGTGGGTAGCCTATCCCTTCTCCAGGGGATCTTCTGACCCAGGAATCAAACCAGGGTCTCCTGCACTGCAGACAGATTCTTTACCAGCTGAACTACCAGGAAGAGCCTACTGTGATTCTAAGTTGACTCTCATTTAGGGCCTTTATACAAGGTCCTGCACATCCACATATGTGCTGCCTCTTCAGGGTCTCTAAAGAGTTACTCCTAGTTGCTTGCTAAACTCTTGCCAGCAAGGCTTGCAAATATCTAAAACATACCAAAATCTATACTGTTGTTCCCTTTTCTCCCAGCCCATCTCCTGACTGGCTCCTTCTCCTCCATTAGTTCTCAAATTAAATGTAACCTCTTCAAAGGGACCTCTCAAGCCAGTCCATCTAACATAGGTACATGTTCCCTGCCTCCAACTTTCATATTTTCTGTTTGCCTTATTTCCTCCGTAACACTGCTCTCCATCTGTAGTTTATTCTGTCTGTTCATTCTATATTTCCCATTAGACTAATGAGCTCCAGTAAGGCAGAACACATATGACTTGTTCTCTGTTGTACCTTTAAGACCTGATCCTGTGACTGGCCCAAAGCAGGTTTCAATAAATTGCCAATGAATGAATAAATAAATGAGAACTTATTCTTCAAGGGAGGAGGAGGACCAAGCAAGGAAGATTTGTCTTGGACTCCATCTTGAGATGATGGAGGCACTCATCCTTCTTTGTTCTAGGCACCCAGATAGGTTTAAAAAGGAACACTGGGGGTTTTTCTCAAAAGAAGTTTTCATGAAAGCTCTCGTAACTTAGTAACTTACCGTCTTGGCTGGGGGTCGGGGGGAGTGAGGGGGAGTGAAAGTGGCTCAGTCGAGTCCGACTCTTTGTGATCCCATGGACTAGCCTGCCAGGTCCCTCTGTCCATGGAATTCTCCAGGCCAGAATACAGGAGTGCGTAACCGTTCCCTTCTCCAGGGGATCTCCCCAACCCAGGGACCAAACCCAGGTCTCATGCATTGCAGCCGGATTCTTTACCGTCTGAGCCACCAGGGGGTCGGGGGAACTGGATTTAAAACCCGGTTTAACTAGATTAAAAGGAAAGAAAATTGTTTGAAACAGATGTGCGGTTCACCACATTGGGGCTCTTCCTTTTGCATCCTCCCCTCCCGTTTCTGGGCTTCCCAGAAGGCGTTAGTGGTAAAGAATTCTAATGCCAATGCAGGAGACTTGAGAGACGCCGGTTCAATCCCTGGGTCGGGAAGATCCCCTGGAAAGGTGAATGGCAACCCACTCCAGAGAATTCCATGAACAGAGGAGCCTGGCGAGCCCATGGGGTCGCAGAGTCTGACACGACTTGGCACGCACGCACTCCCGTTTCTAACGGCTCCACCCCTTCCTGTTATCATCCAGAAGCGACGAGTGGCTTTGGCTTAGGGTCTGGAGCCAAAGACCTACTTCGTCCTCGTTGATTATTCATGAAGTGGGTGGGTCTGTGAGATGTTCTTAATATTTATAAGGGGCGGAGTCTCCTTCCTGAGGGAGCTAAGGTAGGGTTCTAAAATATTCCTCAGGGAGGACGGCACTATGGAATCCGGGGGCGGGGCCTTCTTCCCGCTGGGGCTCCTGGGAGGATTCTAACATATTCTCAAGGCCAAGGGGGCGCCTGCGAGACTGGAACGCAGCTTCGGAGCTGACGGGAGCCGGACTTTCGCTCTTCCTGGCGGCAAAACCTTGAGGAAATACTTTCTTTTCTAAATATTAAGAAATTTGAGGAGATGGGGCAGAACGACTAAGTCCCATATTTTCCTTTAGCCGGAAAACTGTCAAAATCTGTGGTAAAAAAATTTTTTTTCCCCAATAATTTCTGGAGATAGTTTCATCTTTCCATGGACTGGAGACAGTAAAAAATGCATCCCAGTGTGGTTTGGCTCTTAAATTGGGCAGTTTTTATTTTATGGGCTCCCTAGTTTACTTCTTTGAAGATATTTTGAGCTTATTCCGGAGCAGGGGGGGATGGGTCTCTTCAAAGTGTTATCTTATGTTAAAACAAAATAGAAATCCTAGTGAATTGCTATTGGAAGGTTTTCTCTGAGAAGAGGGAGAAAAGTTCATCCAAGAGGTACTTAAAGCCTTTCAAACGTGGGCAAAAGTAGTGAGATGGAACAGAGCACTGAAACGTCATCGTATTACGATTATTTGGGTTCCTGATTCTCATTCTTTAGAGGGCTGAGAGGAAACCAGAAATAATTTGGGATTACACCTTTAGGATTTTCAGAAAGTCTTGTTATCTCCCCTGGAACGTTCAGGTCTGAGTGAGAAAAAGAAGGAATTCTAAGAGGAGACTTTAGTTTTAGCAGAATTTAGATCACTTTGTTTTACTCCTCTCAGAGGTTTAAAAATATATACAGTGTGTGGTTGACACACTAAATCCCCCCAGGTTTTAGGTGTCAGTGAGTTTCTGAAGAGCCCACAGGCTCCCACCCAAGTCCCAGGTTACACAGTGCTCAGAGAAACAGAACAAAACCTAGGCCAGGTGTATATGTTACTATAATGAAAAATGCTACTGTGAGAAATTAAAAACAATCTTATGGATTGAATAAATTTATATTCTTTCATTTGGTGAAATCCCATGCAGTCCTTTTAAAAATATATACTTGTAGAAATATATCTATTGATATGGAAAGAAATTATAATTTTAATTACAACTGAAAAGGATTACAAAATACTGTGAACAGTGATTTCCTCTGTTTTTATAAAAAACATATGGAAAACTCTAGAATGATATAAGTCAAAGGGCTTGATTTTGTGCTAAAAACCAAATGAATTTAATTTTCTTCTTTTTGTTTTGCTGTATTTTGTAAAAATTTTTGACTGTGTATTACTTGTATAATTTTATTTTTATTTTTATTTTTTTTACTTGTGTAATTTTAATGATTATTTTAAAATATCTACTAGCAAAGCACTATGTAGGGTATAGTTTTAAAGGAAATTCACAATATGCTTTTAACTAAGCTCTAAATTTCTTGGCCACATTTTCAATTGTATAGCTGGTTTGTTTTTTTTTTTAACACTTATTTTTATTTATTTGGCTACATAGAGTCTTAGTTGTGGCATGTGGGATCTAGTTCCCTAACCAGGGATCGAACCCAGCCCCCCTGTATCAGGAGGGCAGAGTCTTAGCCACTGGACCACCAGGGAATTCCCGTATAGCTGGTTTTAACTTGATGTAAATTGACTTGTAACCTTTTAGATGAATAAGTAGCAATGTGATTTTTTAGCAATTTTGTGCCGAAAGGAGAAAATGCATTTTAGTCAGATATATTTGTAACTCTTTAATGACATGTCTTAGTTGTTTCTTCAGAAATAAGGAGCCCTAGATTGGAGTTATAGTTATGCATGTGTACATCTACATGTATATTTACAAAAAAATGTTTTCTGAATAGGAAAAGGAATGACACAAAGTCACTGTGTGTGAAAAATACCATTTTTTAAAAAGAATTATTGTTTAGTGTAAGTGAATTACTAGTAACTTCAATAAAATTCTTTCTAGGAAATGTTCAGTTTGAAATAAGTTATGTAGGCCCTTCCTAAGACTTGTCAGTTCAGTCAGTTCAATCGCTCAGTCGTGTCCAATCTTTGCAACGCCATGGACTGCAGCACGCCAAGCTTCCTTGTCCATCACCAACTCCCAGAGCTCACTCAAACTCATGTCCATCAAGTCAGTGATGCTATCCAACCATCTCATCTTCTGTTGTCCCCTTCTCCTCCCACCTTCAGTCTTTCCCAGCATCAGGGTCTTTTCTAATGAGTCAGTTCTTCGCATCAGGTGGCCAAAGTATTGAAGTTTCATTATTAGCTGTTATTAAACAAAAGTGATACTGAGGGAAAATTATTCATTAATTTATTCTAGTCTTATTGTTTTACAAAACTTTGATTTCATCACACATAGTGAATCATAATGAAACCATCTTAATCTATTAGAGCTAGTCAGTTTTTAAAAGCTGCAAACTAAAGTCTATTTTTTAATCTGTCTTTATGGTTCCAACAAAAGAACATGTCAGTATTAAGTTTTTAAAAAATAGAAAAGTTTTAATTCTACATTAATACTTTGAATTTTTTAAGAATTAAAGTAAAAACAACATACTAATTGACAAATATTGAATGGATTGAAATTATAATTTTTTGTGTTATTTCTTTTGCTTTTTGAAAATATAACATTTCTTTTCTTAGAATACATTTCATCTAGATACATACCTCATTTTCTACTAAAACTCTGTCTAAAATATCTGGCTAAGAGGGGAGAGATTTTTAAGTATTTCATACCATCTGGAATGAATAAATAGACTCTACTGGTTGGAATGCCATATACGGGACATCACATTAAAAGTTCTGTAAATATAGAGAGATAACTATTACCCATCAAAATATGAATCTTTCCATTTAAAGAAACATCGCTTCATCAATATAATTTCCTTTTTTCTTTGTCTCTTGTGCTTTTTTTTTCTAATCAGGATAAATTCATGAGATAAGGAAGAGGATGGCGTCTAGAGTAAATACCAGTTTCACTTTGATTCCTAACCAGAAATATAGACGTAGTAATCGTCGATCCAGCTATTTTTCTAACAACTTTGACTCAGATTCTCAGCCCTTATCAACACTTGGAAATTTTAAAGCCTTGCCAGTGGAAATATTCCAAATAATTCTAAAATATTTGTCAGGTGAGGTTTGGTGACTCTAAGTAGGCAACATGGATAATGGAATATTTTATTTTCCCCAAGAAGTAGCTTGTCATCTTAGACCCGGCTAGAATATTAATGGTGTTCATTTCAGTTCAGTTCAGTCTCTCAGTCATGTCCGACTCTTTGCGACCCCATGGACTGCAGCACACCAGGCCTCCCTGTCTGTATTCACATTTAGTCTATTTTTTTAAATTTCATCATTGTTAGGTAAGGGGTACTCAGAGAAAATATGATACTCAGACTCCTTAAAGCATGCTTCTAATTATAATGACATGGTAATTTGACTGTTACATCCCCAAATGTTTCTAATGCATTGAGAACTAGATTTCAAACAATTTTAAGATTTTACCCTTTTCCCCACTTTTATTATTTATTTTTAGTAGTATTATTAATAGTATTATTTAGTAGTATTATTAATGAGCTAACCTGTAAGTTCATAGACTGCTAATAGTGATGTTCTGTATTTAAGTCATTCACATATATGTATATATGTATATTTCTTTTTATAGTGAAGGATATCAGCATGCTAAGCATGGTGTCCAAAACAGTCAGCCAGCACATTATTAATTATATCTCAACCTCATCAGGAAGCAAAAGACTTTTACTACAGGATTTTCATGACCCTGAGCTGCCTGACAGAGAAGACACCACTATATTGGATCACTACAGATCTCTAGGTAATTTATGTAATAAAATAAGAATTGTAACAGGTAAAGAGCTATACTTAATTAAGGGGGTTTTATTATGCAATTCTATAAGGCCTGTGGGAAATGGAATACTTCCTATTTCCATGACACTTACTCTTCCAGTGTGAGGACTTTCCCTTAACAGCAATCCTTTTGTTTACTGTTTAGTCGCTCAGTTGTGTCCAACTCTTTGCGACCCTGTGGACACCAGGGTTCCTGTCTTTCAGAATCTCCCGGAGTTTGCTCAGAGTCTTGTTGGTGATGCCATCCAACCATCTCATCCTCTGTCACCCTCTTCTCCTGCTGCCCTAAATCTTTCCCAGCCTCAGGGTCTTTTCCAGTGAGTCGGCTCTTTGCACCAGGTGGCCAAAGGGTTGGAGCTGCAGCTTCAACATCAGTCCTTCCAATGAATATTCTGGGTTGATTTCCTTTAGGATAGACTGGTTTGATCTCCTTGCTGTCCAAGGAACTCTCGGGAGTCTTCTCCAGCACCACAATTCCAAAGCATCATTTCTTTGGTGCTCAGGCTTCTTTATGGTCCAATCTCACATCCCTGCGTGACTACTGGAGAAACCATAGTTTTGGCTATACAGACCTTTGTCAGCAAAGTGATATCTCTGCTTTTTAATACACTGTCTAGGTTTGTCATAACTTTTCTTCCAAGGAGCAAGTGTCTTTTAATTTCATGACTGCAGCCATCATCCACAGTGATTTTGGAGCACAAGAAAAGAAAGTCTGTCAATGTTTCCACTTTTTCCCCATCTATTTGCCATGAAGTGATCGGACTGGATGCCGTGATCTTCATTTTTTGAATGTTGAGTTTTAAGTCAGCTTTTTCACTTTCCTTTTTCATCTTGATCAAGAAACTTGATCAGTTCTTCTTCGCTTTCTGCCATTGGGGTGGTGTCATCTGCATATCTGAGATTATTGATATTTCTCCCAGTAGTCATGATTCCAGCATGGGGTTCATCCAGCCCAGCTTTTCACATGATGCATATAAGTTAAATAAGCAGGGTGATAGTATACAGCCTTGACATACTCCTTTTCAAATTTTGAACCATTCCATTGTTTCATGTCCAGTTCTAACTGTTGCTTCTTTTCCTGCATACAGACTTCTCAGAAGCTGGGTAAGGTGGTCCCTTATTCCCATCTCTTTCAGAATTTTCCACAGTTTGTTGTGATCCACACAGTCAAAGGCTCTAGTGCAGTCAATGAAGCAGAAGCAGATGCTTTCCTGGAATTCCCTTGTTTTCTGTCATCCAGCAAATGTTGACAGTTTGATCTCTGGTGCCTCTGCCTTTTCAAACCCAGATTGTACATCTAGATGCTCTCTGTTCACATACTGTTGAAGCCTAGCTTGAAGGATTTCGAGCATAACCCTGCTAGCGTGTGAAATGAGTGTGATTGTTAGGTAGCATTGCCCTTCTTTGGGACTGGAATAAACACTGACCTTTTCCAGTCCAGTGGCCACTGCTGAGTTTCCAAATTTGCTGGCATAGTGAGTGCAGAACTTTAACAGCATTATCTTTTAGGATTTGAAATAGCTCAACTGGAATTCCATCACCTCCACTAGCTTTGTTTGTAATAATGCTTCGTAAGGCCCATTTGACTTCACACTTCAGGGTGTCTGGCTCTAGGTGAGTGGTCACACCATTGTGGTCATCCGGGTCTTTAAGACCTTTTTTGTACAGTTCTTCTGTGTATGCTTGCCACCTCTTCTGAATCTCTTCTGCTTCTCTTAGGGTCCATACCATTTCTGTCCTTTATTGTGCCTTCTTTACATAGAATGTTCCCATGGTATCTCTAGTTTGCTTGAAAAGATCTCTAGTCTTTCCCATTCTATTGTTTTCCTCTATTTCTTCACATTGTTCATTTAAGAAGACTTTCTTATCTCTCCTTGCTATTCTTTAAAACTCTGTATTCAGATGGGTTTATCTTTTCTTTTCTCCTTTGGCTTTCACTGCTCTTCTTTTTTCAGCTATTTGTAAGGCCTCTTCAGACAACAGTCCTTTACATTACCTTTAAAGATGAGAATGCATTTTAAAGTATCCGTCCTTGTGACTTCATGTGGATACAGTGTCATTGAAGCTTATCATCTGGTGGCTTACCAGTTTAGGGAATTGATGTATTTTTATGCTTTACTTTGTGTGGATGTGATGAGTTTGTTTGGTTTTTTTTTTGATATGATGAGTTTTATCTCTGTATTTCTTTTCCTTTTCAACCGTATTAGTTTATAAAATAAATTTAAATATATTATTGTGGAAAATCATTATTCTGTTATCAGAAACAGTGGTTTCCTTTCTTAAGGATCCTGTGCATTTACTAATAAATCATTATGCTATTATTAAATTAACTTTAGCAAAGGAAGTCGTGGACGGTTTCTTCTCTGGATTTTTAATCGTTTTATCTTTCATCCCATTCATTGATTTCATTCTTCCTGAGTGCTAACATAAAATTCTAATTTTGACTTGATGACACCAGTTTAATTATGAAGCTACCTGTAGTTAATCAAAACATGGCAATGAAACTGAATATCTGATGTTGAGAGTAAGTTAAGTGAATATTACCTTTTAGTAGCCCAAGGATTCCTAGTTTTCAAATAATGAAATAAGACTGCATAGATGTGAAATACATCAAACTGTACTTGATAAGTATACTTAATAAGACTAAATGAAAAGTATGTGATCTTGTTACAGTGTTATTGCTCTCAGTACTTACTATTAAGCTTAGTAAAGCTTGCAAAAGAATACATCAATTACTTTTGGCCACTTATTGTAAATATCTTTTTTCAAACATCACCAGTTGTGGAGGAAGTGTTACTTGGGAAAAGCTTATTCTTTAGTTTAATTAGAAAGAATTTTTTCTCCCTGATCAGGCTCAATTGCATAAACAAACAAACAAAAAGCATTAAGACAATTATGTGGATCATTCAGTTAAAAATACAGATATGTGTTGATCTTTAAAGGTAGCTTTTAAACATGATTTTATTTGTGTAATGATTTCAACCTTCCATTTAAATTTGGTGCAGACAGCTAGCTTGTGACTGATTCTTTAGATAAATGTTTGATGTACTTACCATTTCCTCACATAGCCATTCCTCTGTTCTTGTTTTCCGACATTAAAATAACATTTTCAGAATTCTGCATTCTGAGGTTTATACATTTTAATTTGCTGCTTCATACAAAACAGAGCAGATGGCCCATGTGAAAAGAACAGTACATCTGATCTATTTTAGTGAGAAGAAATTAAAGAAGTTGGTCTCTAAAGGGTATAACAGAGCACCTGTGTTAAAAAATAAAGAAGTCAACTGGCATTGGTTTTTATGGGAAATTGCAATCCTTAAAAATAAGCATTCTACATTTAAAAAAGCAACCAGCATGCAATTAGAGTTTACAATTCCCCAGCTATGATATGCCTTGGGACTGGATGCCAGAACATGAAAGGAAAAGGACTCAGCCTGAAAACCAAACACTGAAAATGTCTTTTTATGTACAAAAATAAGAAGGGTTTATCTTTAAAATGCAGTCCTGATAATGTGTTGCCCAAACATAGCAACTTCTAAAAATAAGTTCAATTCCCATAGATTCTACAGAATTATATAAAGTTTATTATATTATGTAAAAAAGTAAATGCAAAGAAGATGAAGACTAAAGAAAGTCATGATATTCAGGTATGCGTTTTCTTACCATATCTTATTTTTAGTTTGAGGATATTTGTCCTTATAGGAATGTTAACAATATATTGCCATTTTAGGAGAACAGAACACTTAAAGTTAGAGAAAACAAATCATACACTTCCTGTCACTGTAGTTCAAGTTACATAGCTCACTGGGAAATTAAAGGCTTTTTAAAAAAATATGTAAACACAAAATTCTATACATTCTTAACATGCAAGCCCCGTAAAAGGATATCTTTAAAGAAAGAGATAAATATTTCATCCAAACTGGATACTTTCTGTGAGGGAAAAAAAGCCTTCTAATCTCTGAAAATTCAAGTACTTATGACTAAGTTTTTGTACAGTATTTGGAGAAAGGAATATAAAATCTCTTCTCTCACTCTTTCCATTAGCAACTCTTAAAATATTTTCCCTTGTGGACATGAGGTTAATTTTAAGAGATACTAGGGGAAAAAAAGAGATACTGGAATATTTTTTTTATGGAATAAAGACAGTAGAGTTTCCCAATTGTATTTTGTATTTGGTTATTGTTGTCTTTGGGGGGGCTTGCCTTGTAGCTCAGTGGGTAAAGAATCTGCCTGCAATGCAAGAGACCCGGGTTTGATGCCTGGGTCAGCAAGATCCCTTGGAGAAGGAAATGGCAACCCACTCCAGTATTGTTACCTGGAGAATCCCATGGACAGAGGAGTCTGGCAGACTACAGTCCATGTAGTCCACCATTGTTATCTTTTTAAATTGAAATGCTTTCTTAAATCTATTCTATAGCACCAATTTCACAATTTTTTGTAAGATTTCATGTCATAGCCTCTTGGGTGAATACCAGAGTCATCCTTGGTAAACACCATGTATTACAAGTATAGTGAACGCTTCCTCCCAAACTTCCCCTTAAAAACACTGATATCAGCTCACAGTCCACTATGGTACATCTCACTTTCAGGAAACATTATGCTGTGAGTTATAGATATTCTTAAATTAATTATATTATTGTCATTTTTTTCATGTGTCTCTTTACTTTCTCAGGTCTACTATTTAAAAGATGTACATTGCTGCTACCCACAAAGGACAGACTAAAGTACATTCACAAGATACTTGCAGATGTAAGATCATACTTCTAAATTTGTTCACAATCTTGATTTCCAGTAAAGATGTTTTATTATTAATATCTTATACTCATTTTAAATCTATATTTATTTTCATGGAATTTCATGAATTAATACTAAAAATTGATTGATGATAATTAATACTTTACCAAGTACTCAGATTATAAAACACCAAAATGTAGTATGGGAGTATTTTCACTCAAGTTTATTAGGTTTATCAAAGTAGTAAAAATATTTTTACCTTGTGGGAATTCTGAAGATGTTTTAAAGTGATGATGTAGATATTTTATTAAAATGAAAATAATTTCTATGTGTTAACATTTTGCTGTTTAAATATTAAAAGAATTTTTAATATATAAAGTGACAAACCTTTTATGATAATTTATGACTTGGAAATGTGTATTAATGTGTTAGGGCATAATCTCTGTTAGACATTGAGTTTTATTATGTAAGTCCAAATATATATCTACTATTGCTGATTCAGTTTTACACTCAATAGTATGCAAACTGTTTCCACTGGCTTTTTTCATGTCAGTGTTTGCATTAACTTCAGCCTCTATGTTATTACAGCAACTTCCAAGATGATCTTCCTGCCACACATTTCTTCACTCCCCAAGACATTCTATATGCTGAATCACTTTCATCAATTTAATTTTCTTGCTTAAAAACCTTTCAGTGGTTACTCAATTTCATCACAATAAGGTCCAAAGTCCATAGGTAGTATTGAGGTTCCCTTTGACAGTGCAAGCTTAATTCCTACTATCTTGAGCCTGACTAAGCTGCTCATATCTTTCTTTCCAGAGGAACCTTTTTTATTTTTACCTCTGTATAATTTTCCCTTTATTGTTTCCCTCACCAGTACTATCTATTCATTATATTTGAATCCCACTTAAAGACATTAAAGACATTACTTGTTTTACATCCTTCATGAGCTTTTTAAATCATTCTCAGAATGATCCTTTCCCTGATTTCATCATGTCTGATATGTTTATTTGGTCATTGTAGCATTTGTACATATTCTAACCTGAAATGTAAAAATAGCTTCAGGTGTGTATATTGTCCTAAATAAATTGTGAGCTCCTTAAGGCAGAGACTTTGTTTTATACTTTTTTCATAATCCTCCACCTATGTAACATGATGCTAATCAGTTATATATTGTTTTAGTTATTTTCAGTTAAGATCGAAAAAGGTCATTGCATATTTCCACTTAATGTGAATGTCAAATTATTGTACAGTTCCACTGAAAAGGAGGAATTAATAGTTGTTCTCTTTATAGGTTTCCTGTTTTAAATTCAATGGATGTGCATCTCCTTTGCAATGTGTAGGATTACTATGTTATGGCCTATTTTTACAGGTACATTTTTTATTTACTGAAAGAAGAAAAGGAGTTCTTTTTGAACTGTTAGTAAGTAGAGGATGTAATCTGTCTTTCTATAAAATAATAAAAGTGATAATAATCTAAAAAGAAAACAAAATAACATTGTAAAGGTTTGAGAATGTGTTAATATGTTTGCCACCTCAGGTTTTCTTCTTGGATTTCTCACTAGTAAGAAATGCTTAACATTTATATGCTCTATACCAATGTCCTTGAAGTTTCCAGCCAATTGTAATGACTGGAAATATTGTGGGATACAGAGTGTGGATGTGTAATGAATTTTAAGTCTTGGGCTAGTTATTGAAGATGTGATTTTAGAAATCAACTGTATTTTAAAAATTGTGACTATGGGAAATGATAGATACAACTGATTTTATTATGGGGCTTCCCAAGTGGTGCTTGTCATAAAGAACCTGCCTGCTGAAGCAGGAGACAAAAAAGACCCAGGTTCGATCCCTGAGTTGGGAAGTTCCCCTGGAGAAGGGCATGATAACCTGCTCCAGTATTCTTGTGTGGAGAATACCATGGATAGAGGCACTTGGCAGACTACAGTCCATGGGATTTCAGAGTCGGATATGGAGTGCAACACCTCAGGCTTCCTTGTCCTTCACTATCTCCCACAGTTTGCTCAAATTCATGTCCTTTAAGACAGTGATGCTATATAACCACCTCATCCTCTGCCGCCCCCTTCTTCTTTTGCTTTCTTTGCATCAGGATCTTTTCCAATGAATCGGCTCTTTGCATCAAGTAGCCAAAGTATTGGAGCTTCAGCATCAGTCCTTCTGATGACTATTCAGGGTTGATTTCCTTTAGGATCTATTGGTTTGATCTCCTTGAAGTCCAAGGGACTCTCAAGAGTCTTTGCCAGCACCACAATTGAAAGCATCAATTCTCTGACACTTAGCCTTCTTTATGGTCCAACTCTCACAGCTGTACATGACTCCTAGAAAAACCATAGCCTTGACTATGTGGACCTTTGTCAGCAAAGTGATGTCGCTGCTTTTTCATATGCTGTCTAGGTTTGTCATAGTTTTACTTCCAAGGAGCAAGCATCTTTTAATTTCATGGTTGCAGTCACCATCCGCAGTGACTTTGGAGCCCAAGAAAAGAAAATCTGTCACTGTTTCCACTTTTCCCCATCTGTTTGCCATGAAGTAATGGAACTGGATGTCATGATCTTCTTTTTTCACAATATTGAGTTTCAAGTCAGCTTTTTCACTCTCCTCTTTCGCCCTCATCAAAAAGCTCTTTAGTTCCTCTTCACTTTCTGCCATTAGAGTGGTATCATCAGCTTATCTGAGGATGTTGATATTTCTCCCAGCAATCTTGATTCCAGATTGGGATTTATCCAGCCTGGTATTTCACATGATGTACTCTGCATAGAAGTTAAATAAGCAAGATAACAACATACAGTCTTTATATATATACAGGCTGTATATACAATATACAGTCATACGCCTTTCCCAATGTTGAACCAGTCCATTGTTTAATGTCTGGGTCTAACTGTTGCTTCTTGACCTGCATACAGTTTTCTCAGGAGACAGGTAAGGTGGACTGGTATTCCCATTTCCTTCAGAATTTTCCAGTTTGTTGTGATCCACACAGTCAAAGGCTCTAGTGCAGTCAATGAAGCAGAAGCAGATGTTTTCCTGGAATTCCCTTGTTTTCTCTATGATCCAGCAAATGTTGGCAACTTGGTCTCTGGTTTCTCTGCCTTTTCTAAACCCAGCGTGTATACCTGGAATTTCTTGGTTCACATACTGCTGAAGCCTAGCTTGAAGGATTTTGAGCATAACCTTGCTAGCATGTGAAATGAGTATGATTGTTAGGTAGTTTGAACATTCTTTGGCATTGCCCTTCTTGGGACTGGAATGGAAACTGACCTTTTCAGTCCTGTGGTCACTGCTCAGTTTTCCAAAGTTGCTGGAATTTTGAATGCAGCACTTTAACAGCATCATCTTTTAGGATTTGAAATGGCTCAACTGGAATTCCATCACCTCCAGTAGCTTTGTAGTAATGCTTCCTAAGGCCCACTTGACTTCACACTTAAGGATGTCTGACTCTAGGTGAGTGACCACACCATCTGGTTATCTGAGTCATTTATACCTTTTTTGTATAGTTCTTTGTATTCTTGCCACCTCTTCTTAATCTCTTCTGCTTCTGTTAGGTCCATACCATTTCTGTCCTTTATTCCCATCCTTACATGAAATGTTCCTTGATATCTCCAATTTTCTTGAAGAGATTTCTAGTCTTTCCAGTTCTACTATTGTCCTTTATTACTTTGTACTGTTCACTTAAGAAGACTTTCTTATCTCTTCTGGCTATTCTCTGGAATTCTGCATTCATTTGGGTATATCCTTCCCCTTGCCCCATGCCTTTCGCTTCTCTTCTTTTCCCAGCTATTTGTAAAGCCGGCTCAATCACTTTGCCTTCTTGCATTTCTTTTTCTTTGGGATGGTTTTGGTCACCACTTCCTGTTACAAACCTCCATCCATAGTTCTTCAGGAACTCTGTCTACCAGATCTAATCCCTTGAATCTATTCATCACCTCCACTGTATAGTTGTAAGGGATTGATTTAAATTCTACTGTAGTCTGAAACTAAGCCACAGTATGGTTGTGAGTCAGATATCTAAAGTTGTGTTTTAGGGTCTGGGCCTTACTTTGTTATTTTCCTCATAACTGTCAGAGGTCAGGATTCAATACCATTTAGTTCTCTGAAAAGAGACTCTCAATGCAACCACAAAGAAATTGGATTTTGGAGCATTTCTAGGTTTTGTTTAATATAAAATTTCCTATGAATTTTAACAGTCCCATACTGGATAAAAATTGCGCATCACCCTGATTTTGTGCTGCAGCAGTTGATGGTCATAAGGCAATAGTGACTTGTGTTTTGATTTGATGGTTTGAATATCTGCAATGTTTCCTTTATTTTATCATTCTCAGACTTTAACAGCAGGTTGGGATGAACTCGAGTGCCATCGTGTTTATAATTTCTTATGTGAGCTGACTAATCTGTCCCGCAAGATGCAGACAGCTGTCTGCAGCAAACCAGGTAAAGAACTAAAATTCAGAGATAACATTATACAAAGATTAAAATAGAAAAAAATAGTTTATTTCTAAAGTGTATTTTAAAATAAACTGCAGTGTTTACTGCAGTGTAGAAAGAGGACAAAGAGATATAAGGGAATGATAAACACTAAATCAGACAGTGAGGCAGAAGTGGCCTGTAATTACACAAAGAGACCAGCTCAGAGGGTCTTCAACCATATTAATAATATTTTATTCCTTAAACTGGTGGAAGATACAAAGGTGTTCATTATAATATTCTTTAAACCTTTATATATACCTGAAATATATTTTAAAAATTAAAAGAAATCTATAATTTAGCAATGTCACTCTAAGAAACTCCCACAGTGTGCACAAGGAGACATGTATAAGAATGAGCATTACAGGGAAGACTGCCAACAACCTAATGCCTGTTGTCAAGAGGATGGATAAATGAATTGTGGCATATTTATACAATTAAAAACCATTAATAGTTAAAATGAGTTAACTAGAGCCATGTGTATTTTTAATATGGATAAATCTCAAAATATAATTTGAGAGAAAAGGCTACCAAACAATACTTTTAATATGATAACATTTATATACATATTAAAAACATGTAAAATAATTCTATATATTCTTTATGGTTATATATATATGTAAAAAAATATAAGAACATAGTTGGGAGGTATGATAGGTAATTTTGTGTGTCAACTTTGGTAGTCCATGGTACCCAGATATTTAATCAAACAGTATTCTAGATGTTTGAATTTGTTTTTTAGATAAGATTGACATTTAACTTTGCAGACTTCGAGTAAAGCAGATTACCCTCCATAATGTGGGCGGGCCTCATCCAATCACTTGAAGGCTTTAGTAGAAAATGACTCTTCTCCCCAAACAAGAAAGAATTCTGCCAGCAGACTGTCTTTGGTCTTGAATTAGAAGTCCCCCTGCCTTGTTGGAGCCTGCCAACCTACCCTGTAGATTATGGGCTTGCCAAGCTTCAGTGATCTGCATAAGCAAGACAAATCCTGTGTATATATACACATCCTGTACTTTTGTTTCTCTAGAAAGCACTGATTAATACAACAGGAACAAAACCCAATTCAAGATGGTGATTATCTCTAGGGAAGAAGGAAATTGGGACTGATAAACAAGAAGTTTTAACTGTATGAATAATGTTTTATTTTTTTTTAATCCTGAAGCAAATATAGCTAAGATTTGACAAAACTAGATAATCAGTATACAATGTTTGTTATAGTATCTCTGTTTTTCTGTCAGCTTGAAATATTTCATTATGAGACAAATCATGGCAGAATTTTTTAAGGCAGATACAGAAGCCCAGTGAAACAATAGCAAAATTAATTTATCATGTCCTTCTCTTGATCAGAAAGTTTTATTAGTTCCCTGATATCTTCCCTGGTAGTTCAGCAGGTAAAGAATCTGCTTGCAGTGCAGGAGACTTCAGTTTGATTCCTGGGTCAGGAAGATCCCCTGGAGAAGGGATAGCTACTTCTCCAGTAGTTGGAATACTATCCACTCCAGTATTCTTGGGTTTCCCTGGTGGCTCAGTTGGTAAAGAATCCTCCTGCAATGCGGGAGACCTGGGTTTAATCCCTGGGTTAGGAAGATCCCTTGGAGGAGGGCATGGCAACCCACTCTAGTATTCTTACCTGGAGAATCCCCATGGACAGAGGAGCCTGGTGGGCTACAGTCCAAGGAGTTGCAGAGAGTCGGACACGACTGAGGGACTCAGCACACTAAGCAAGTGACACCTTCAGAATAAAGTGCAAGCCACACTGCTCTTCACATATGAACCCCAGCCTGCCTCTACAGACTTCCTGCCTACTGCTCTCCACATCAGTTTGACACAGGATATTGCTCTGTGTCACAGACTCCTCTTACACATTTCTACCTCATGCCTTTCATTCTCTCTTTTTCCTGAAATGCCATATCTCCTTTTCATCCTTTAAGACCCAGTTTACTTGATCTTTCCTGATCTACCTAGACCTGCAATAATCTCTCTCCTCTAAACTTCTGTGCTACTTGACTTAACACATCAAGAAAAACTTATTTACACATGGCCTTGGTGTGAGGGCTTCCCTGGTGTCTCAGAAGTTAAAGCATCTGCCCGCAATGTGTAGACCTGGGTTCGATCCCTGGATTGGGAAGACCCCCTGGAGAAGAAAATGGCAACCCACTCCAGTATTCTTGCCTGGAGAATCCCATGGAGGGAGGAGCCTGGTAGGCTACAGTCCACGGGGTCCCAAAGAGTTGGACACGACTAAGTGATTTCACTTTTGCTCTTTTGTTTTGGTGTGTTGGTAGACTTTCCATTTACGCTTATGTACAAGTAAGTAGATCATAAGTAGTATAAGAATATAAAATGTAAAATGGTGTCACCACCATGAAAAACAGTTTGGTCATTCCTCAAAAAACTAGATGTAGAGTTACATATGACCCAGTAATTACACTCCTAGGCACCTAACTAAGGAAATTGAGAGCAGGAACTTGAACAAATATTTGTACACCAGAATTCACTGAAATATTATTTTCAATGGCCAAAACCAGGAAGTTTTGGAAGTATTCATCAATAGATGAATGGATGGACAAAATGTGGCATATATATACAGTGGAATATTATTCAGCATAAAAAGGAGTAAAGTGTCTGGCCCCACCATGTGGCTTGCAGGCTCTTAGTTTCTTTACTAGAGATCGAACCTGGGCCCCAGCAGTGCACAGAATCCTAGCCATTGGACCACCAGGGAATTCACAGGAGTGAAGTTTTGATATAGGCCACAACATGGATGACTTTTGAAAACATATGCTAAGTGAAGTAAGTCAGACACAAAAGGACAAATATTGTATGGTTCCACTTCTGTGAGGCACCTAGAACAGGCAAATTCGTAAAAACAGAAAGTAGATTAGAGGTTACCAGGAACTAGGGGGAGAGGGGGCTGGAGAGTGATTGCTTAATGGTCACAAAGTTTCTGTTTGAGGTGAGAAAAAGTTTTAGATAGGGTAAGAGTGATAACAGTTGAACAACATTATGATTCTAATTGATGCCACTGAATTTTATACTTTAAAAATGGTTAAAATAGCAAATTTTAGATAATATGTATTTTACCACAATTTTAGAAAATAAGGTAATATATCCAAAACTGTTGAATTATATACATTAAATTAAATTATATACATTAAAGTTATATGGTATGTAAATTATATGTATATTCCAATAAAGTTGTTTTTAGAAATACATGAGATACCATTTTATACCCACTTGGATGGCTAGAACCAAAACATCAGATAGCAATTGTTGGTGAGTATGTGGGGCAATTGGAGCCCTCATATACTGCTGGCCAGAATGCAAAATGATACAACCACTTTGGAAAACAACCTGGCAGTTCTTCAAATGATTAAATATAGAGTTACCATATGACCAAGCAGTCTTATTCCTAGGTATATCCTCCAGAGAAACATATTCGTACAGAAGCTTGTAAATGAATGTTAATAGCAACATTATTCATAATAGCCAAAAGGTAGAGACAACCATCAATGGGTGAATAAATAAAATGTGGCATATATATACAGTGGAATGTTATTTGGCTATAAGAAAGCATGAAGTATTGATACATGCTATAACATGGATGAACCTTGAAAACATGCTTTGGAAAGAAGCCAGTCACAAAAGACCATCTACTATATAACTTCATATCAAAGTTCAGCATAGGGAAATCCATAGAGACAGAAAGTAAGTGGTTAGTGCTGTGGGTGATAAAGGACAGAGGGATGGGAGAGGTACAGTTAAAAGAGCAGGGCTTCTTTTTGAGGTAATGACAATGTTCTAAAACTAACTTGGTGATAGCTGCATATATCTATGAATATACTGAAAAAAAGTTGAACTGTATATCCTTTAAATTGGTACATTTTATGGTATGTAAATTGTATCCCAGTAAAGTTATTTTAAAAAGTAGTTCCTTGATAATCTAAAATTTTTACAGAGTAAATGAAGTAACACTGTCAATACAAAGCATATTAATGATGTATGTCTTTGATCTATCCAATGGTGCACATCAATCTAAGAATGCTTTACAATTCTTTTGTCTTCATAGGAAGTGCCCGAAAACTGGAGTTAAGGATCAGACTATTCTGTAGGAACGTACTGCTTGATCACTGGATCCATCAAAGTGATTCTGCATTTTGGTTGACATGTATATTGAAACCGTGGCCAATGGTGAATCAGGCAAGATTACTGTATATCATCTTCGGGCCTATATCTCCTCAAGATGGTAAGCATCTATTTCTTAGGGATGTATGTTACAAAGCTGGTTAATTACTTTTACTTTAGGAAACATCATTTTGTACCTGCTTAGTTTCATCATTTTTTTTTTTTGGATATCATTAGTTATTATAAAAGAGAACTATGGAAATTATTTATATGATGAAAGATTTCAGAACTTCAGTGAAATGGGCAGCTTCACATGATGCCATTTCAATTTCAGTCAACATATTTCCCAAGAATGTCACCACTCTAAGAAATAGTCCTTGTTGTCTGGAACTACTTTGGTGCCTCCATATTCTGGGAGAACTTCTTTTTTTTTTCAGTTCTACCAGTTTATTGCTACCAACCCATCTCCCTCCACCCTCGTGCACACATGCTCATTTAACCATCATGTAACCCCAATGGACTGCAGCCCGCCAGGCTCCTCTGTCCATGGACTTTTCCAGGCAAGAATACTGGAGTAGGTTGCCATTTCCTTCTCCGCTGGGAGAACTTTTATCTCCAACTTTCTTGCTAACTGGTTGAATCTGTCCACCGTTTCCTTTAGAGCCGAATCCAACAGCTACCACCATTGCTTGCAATGCTTTTCCTTGTGGTTTTTCTGGAAGCATAATGCCTCCTTTGGTTACAGTTTCGGCTGCACTTCTTTCAACTAAACATGACTCCAGCTGCCGCAGTTCATACTCTGCTGTCACGCCGCAGCCACAAGGAAAGACCTCTCATCATTCTTAATAACTAAAGTGGATACAACTGTATACTACATTACACTACATTTGCTTGGATGAATATATTTCTTTTGTTCACACAGCATTATGTCAGGACTTAACCAGTCTAAAATGTGTTGTGTAGCAGCAGGAAGCCAATTTGCAAATTTTGTTTGTGTGTATAATTCAGAAAAACTATTGGTCATAGGTAAACAATAAAAAATTGACTGGATTACTCAGTTTTGATATGAGTGTCTGGAAGATTCTGAAATATAGCATGCTGTCTTTTTGGAAGGTTATCACTAGGTTTTATTTCATTTTAGTAAGATTTTATCAATTGTTTATTTTAATTTCTGTTATGGGATAACATTATCTTTGAACCATAAACAGTGTTTTGCTTGGTGAAACTACCTTTTCTTTACTTCATTTAGCTATTGTTGCTGTGCTTCATTGCATAAGTCAGAGACATTAAAATTTATACTGTTATCAGAATTGACCTTTCATTATGAAAGTAGCATGTATAAGTAATGGATTTCATTATGCAATCCCATTTCCTTTTTAAATAATCCATGTAATCTTTATCAGAGAAGCAACTATTCTGTCATAGCCTAGTTTTTGTTTCAATTATCATTCAGGACAGGTGGTTTGGCAGAAAATGATAGAAGAACCTACAGATGAATCCTGTCTGAAAGGTTTGGCTGATGCCATTAAATTACTATATGACACAGGCACCAAAGAATGGACAGCAGATGATGTTATCAGTCTTGTAGATGAACTATCAGGTAAAAAAAAATATTTACCACATAGAGTAATAGAAACATAATATTAGAATACAGTTATAAAATTGTAAGGACATAGAGCAATTAAAAATTTTTTTTAAGTTATACATACAGCTCTAGAGGAAACAAACGGCTTATCATCAGAAGTCACTTTTTGATTTTTGAAGAGAATGCATATAATCAATTTACTTTCCTTCGGTTTTCCTTGTCAATTTTATAGATATTATTCATTGTTATTATTATTTGAAAGTTTCATTATTTTATTAGCTTAGTTATTCCCATTTTGCAAGTTCTCAGAAACACCTCCTAATGCTGAACAAGAGGAAAGCCCTTTCCAGTTGGTTCAGGAGATATGAAACAATGTTTCCCATTCATGCATAATCCTTTAGACTCTGAAATTCTCAAGATTTCTTTCTTTTCCCAGGATTAGACCACTTTGTTGACCTTTGTGGGAGAAATGCTTTGACTATATTACTAGTACATTTGTGAGAGTCACTGTGACTTGGCAATAATCTCTTTTGCCCGGTAAAGGCTGTAACTGGAAAACTAAAGCATTTTCTCCAAGATTCTCCTTTGACACTAATTGTATTTCCAATAAAGTGATATAATATTACATGTATTTAATGATCTTTACTATAGCTATTATGTAATATCTCATTAAATACTGTTTTTCCTTTAATAAAAGTGGTTCCTCGTGAGTGGCTTCTAGAGAATAGTGCACGTCTCCTAATCCTAAGTGGGAACAACATCTGTTTCACTTTCATGGCTAGTAAAGCTGTGAATGGACGCACCATTGAGCTGGCAAGGCTGATAGTCTTTTTGGCTTTGGTAAGTAAAAAATAAGTTTTTTCTAGCAAGTTGTTTAACGTTATAGCTGACCTACCAAGAAGCTGCCATGAAGGAACTGAAATATGTACAAAACATTTTGAAAGAATAAGTATTTAAGTATATTTTTATATATACTTAAAAATTTTTTAATTTATATAACAAACTATCATATTTTGGAGACATTCCTTATATTAACCTCTCCCCACATCGTATCTGAATTGTCATTATACAGCTCTGCCCAGTTATATTCTTTTTTCCCCTTAGATTCCATTAAAAAAAAAATAAAGCACTCTATATAATTTGCTCCAGGGTATTTCATGGGCATTAGGGAGAGAATGTGGAAGTGAGTGGTGGTAGAAGTGAAACAAGATTTGTAATTGCTGAAGCTGGAGAATGGATACTAAGGGTTTATAATACTATTCTCTTTACTTTTATATAGTTAAAATGTTTTTTAAAATAAAACATTTAAAAATATATTTAATGTCCATTCATTTAACACAAATTGAGTGTTTACTATGGGCTATATACTGTGTAAGATTTTAGGACTATGGAAATTAGTAGAACAAATCCCTGACCAAAGCTGCTTACTGTCTTTTAAGAGATATCAAAGTATGCATAAATAAATTCAGTGTGGGAATTTCCTGGCAGTCCAGTAGTTAGCACTTAGCACTGTCACTGCCGCGGCCTGGATTCAGTCCCTGGTCAGGGAACTAGATCCCACATGCCACAACTAAGAGTTTGCATGCCGCAACTAAAGATCCCACATGCCGCAACAAAGCTCTGGCACAACTAAATAAGTAAATAAGTATTTTTTAAAAGATGTGAAAATGTGAGGAAAGCTACCAAATTAACTGTATTCTGAATGTAAATATTTATTTTAATAAGCAGATGTCCTAAAAAAAAGAGAGAATTGGAATTGCATGGCTATCTCAGGGAACTATAAGCAGTTCAGTATTATTTCTGAAGGGAAAAATGTGCAGAAGAGGAGGAGGTGGTGAGTTTAGATAAGAAGGGAGAGGCCAGGTAAGGAGGGACCTTGTAGACCAGTCTGTGGAGCTTGAACCACAGTAGCCACATTGCTGACAAATTTTAGGAAACAGGGAGATACTTTTTGGAAGGTGACTTTGGCCTCACTCTAGCAAAAGGAATGAAGGGGAAGCCATTAGGGGTGGAGAAGCCTTCTCTGGTTAACATCTCAACTCTGATCATTAATTTTCTCTAAATCACCTCAGATTTGTCTTCTATACTTTGGCCACCTCATGTGAATAGTTGACTCATTGGAAAAGACCCTGATGCTGGGAGGGGTTGGGGGCAGGAGGAGAGGGGGCGACAGAGGATGAGATGGCTGGATGGCATCACCGACTCAATGGACGTGAGTTTGAGTAAACTCCGGGAGTTGGTGATGGACAGGGAGGCCTGGCGTGCTGCAATTCATGGGGTCGCAAAGAGTCGGACACAACTGAGTGACTGAACTGAACTATCTTCATTTACCACTGGTGTTCTTAAGCCACTATCTTTGTGGGGTAATTGTCTCCCTAAATAGGGAAACTCTTTGAAATCCAGAACTATGTCACTTACTTCTTTCACAATGTCTTGTACAGTGATTTATACATAGTAAGTGGTCAATAAATCTTTCCTGTCAGATTAACATTATTTGGTTATATTACTGTATAGTTTATTTTCATGCTGTATGTTATTTGGCTACATGGACAATTTGCCATTTAGAATGTTGGTAAATCAACCTTTTTCCTTTCAGTCAGTTTTAGCTAAAAACATGTAATCCTCATTTTATTTATTTTTTAAATAAGAGAGAAATATTCCTTATAGCTCTCAAGATAGAAAGTTAATATTATCATAGAGTTATCTTGCCTATTGAAATTGCCTGTTTGTCTGTCACCCTCATTGGATCCCTTAAATATAGAGGCCTTGTGTTTATGGCTTGCCATAGTAGCCCCAGCTGTTAGCATATGCTCAATAAATAATTACTGAACGAATGAATAAATGAGCAGGAGCCTTTTTTTTCATATGTTTAATAATTGGTGTTTGTTTGGCCGTGTGGCATGTGGGATCTTAGTTCCCAGCCAGGGATAGAACTCATACCCCCTATAGTGGAAGCACAGAGTCTTACCCACTGGACCACCAGGGAATTCCCAGTAATTGTTTGCAATATTATTTTTTTACATTAATAGTATCCTATAATAATCTTGAACCAGGCTTTTATTTACTTCATGCTTTTTTCCCCACAAAATTTGTACCATTTGAAAGCAAAGGAGTATTAGATATAAGAGCATTTGCCATTTATAGACTCAACATATTATGTTATTAAATTATGTTAAACTTATAAACAGTAATTGTTAATACAATTTTCAAATTCTATAACTTTCTTCACATGAAAATTTACCACAATGCTTTGTATGTCTAAACCAGGTGTGTGAGAAAGAACTATATTGCATGGATTGGGCAGTTAAAATGATGCAAAGAGTCTGTAAAGTCTTTAGCACTCCAGTGGAAAGAAATAACTTCCTGCAGAGTGTGGCAAATGCATTTGCATGTGCTATAATGGAAATGCTACAGTCAGTTATGTCTGGTGAGTATACACATAAATGGTACACAAGTGTGAGTAAAATGCATGCTAGTCTTCCCTTAAGACAAATATAATTCTGTGTAGACTTTTATTCCTAAGCAAAGAATAGAAAAATCAGTCATTGTTAGTTTTTTCATGAGATATATTTAGTTTCTAGTATTGTCACTTTTATTTTTTTCTTTTTATTTTTTTTAGTAGTATTGTCACTTTTAAAATCTGGTATTGGTTTTATTTATTTATTTATTTATTTTACAATAAATGAACTTTTCTAATTAGCACCTCAAATTATAAGATCTTATTCACTACAAACAAGGTTAAAAGACAACCCTTAGAATGGGAGAAAACAATAGCAAGTGATACACCTGACAAATAATTAATTTCCAAAATATACAAGCAGCTCATACAACTCAAAACCAGAAAAACAAACAGCCCAATCAAAAAGTGGGAAAAAGACCTACACCGACATTTTCCCAAAGAAGACATACAGATAACAAACACATGAAAAGATGCTCAACATCATTCACTATCAGAGAAATGCAAATCAAAACCACGAGATACCACCTCACACAAGTCAGAATGGCCATGATCAAAAAGTCTATAAACAATAAATGCTGGAGAAAAGGGAACCCTCTTGCATTACTGGTGGGAACATAAACTGATATAGCCACTATGGAAGATGGTATGGAGATTCCTTAAAAAGCTAGGAATAAAACCACCATATGACCCAGCAATCCTACTCGTAAGCATGTACCCTGAGGAAACCAAAACTGAAAAAGACACGTGTACCCCCGATTTTCATTGCAGCACTATTTATAATAGCTACAACATGGAAGCAACCTAGATGTCCACTGACAGACGAATGGATAAAGAAGTTGTGGTACATATATACAATGGAATACTATTCAGCCATAAAAAGGAACACATTTGAGTCAGTTCTAATGAGGTGGACAAACCTAGAGCCCATTACACACAGTGAAGTAAATCAGAAAGAGAAATATAAATATTGTGTACTGATGCATATATATGGAATCTAGAATGATGGTACTGATGAATTAATTTTCAGGGCAGCAATGGAGGAACAGACATAGAGAACAGGCCTAAGGACGTGGTTGGGGAGGAGAGGAGGGAGAGGGTGAGATATACAGAAACTTACAATACCATATGTAAAATAGATAGCCAATGGGAAATTGCTGTATGACTCAGAGAACTCAAAGAGGGGCTCGGTGAATATCTAGAAGGGTGGGATGAAACGGGAGTTGGGAGGGAGGGGATGTGGGTGTTCCTATGGCTGATTCTTGTTGAAAATCTGGTATTGGTTTTAATGGAAGACATAAAATTGAAGAGTCTGCTCTGAAAGGAACCAATATAATTCTGCACAGCAAAAAATCTTAACCTGTTTACTTGACCAACTATTATAACCATCATAATAATATCCTTTATTTGTATAGTTTGCACATTATATTATTTCACAGTTTTATTAGGTGGCAAATATGATAATTAACCCTAATTTACCAAGGAGAAAACTCAGGCTTAGAGAAATTACCTGACTTGCCCAAGGTCATGAAGTTAGAAGCAGTCAAGTATGGACCAGCATATTTTTTTTCTGATTTCTAATTCAGTGCTCTTAATATAATTCCATGGTTTCAGTTGTTAACATCTAACTTAATGAAAATCACTAACTAGTCTTCTGTTACACAGTGTTAGGGATAATGTGTATGTTTTGAATAAATCATATATTTGGAAACTTAACTGTCATTTTCTTTCCTATATGTCTGTTCCTGTGTATGGCATAGGAGATGCTGATGACGACGACAGAAGCTTTATGAATTTGTTTCATCTTGTGCAGGCTCAGGCTAGCTTCCATAAAGAGGTCCTGTATTTGACCATGAATGTTCTCTCTTCCTAAATACTCAGAAATCTTTGCATGTAGAAAACACCTCACTGAACTAATGATTAGAAGAGTGTTACTTTTCCACACTCAAAGAATAGCATCCATGGGACTTTTTATCACCTAAGTAACCTAAGAATTTAAAAGCTGCATAAAACTCTAGAAGCAACTGTTTAAATAATTACTAATATAAAAATTACAGGCAAACCCAAGAATGTATTGAGATTTCTGTAGAAAACAAGCTGTGCCTCTCAAACTAAATGGAACATTAGTGTTAAAAAATCCAGGGCCGGCTAACCCATATGTGTGGATACTCAAAGCAAGAGAAAATTCTGTTACATAATTAGAGCAGACCCAAATAGTGTGTCTATGTTCACTTTGCTTAGATTGTGTAGACATAGCATAGAATGTTTTGTGAAGATTTGCAGTATGATGTTTTGGGTTGTGCAGATATAAATCATATTTTTTTTACCACCTTTTTTGCATATGATTACAGAGAACATTGTGTTTGGTTCATTTTTTTTTTTTAGTTCTACCACTTTATTGCTACCAACCCATCTCCCTCCACCCTTATGCACACATGCTCAGTCATGTAATCCCATGGACTTCAGCCCACCAGACTCCTCTGTCCATGGACTTTTCCAGGCAAGAATACTGGAGTGGGTTGCCATTTCCTTCTCCATTGGTTCATGTTTTTATGGATCAAAAACCAAAGGAAGTATGTTTTTGTGTATATACAGATCCATACATATATGTGTATATATACGTGTGTGTATATATATATATATATATATATGCCATATACACACACACATGCACAAACACACATATATGTCCTTCTTTAAGACAAATAATCTAAAAAAGTCTATAAATAGAGGAAGGTATATATTATCTTAACACAATCAAATCATCTTTTATTCTTTCCTGGGGATTTGAGTAAAATGTTGCAAGTAAGGAAAAATATAAAATGAGAGAAAGTAGCTATTCTGCTCCTAAAGCTTTTCTCCTTATTTTAAATAATAGGACTTGAAACTGGAAGCATGAATGGTTCCAGCAATCCATGAGAGAATGAGGTTTATCTTCACTCAAGTAAATGGATTCCAAGAAGCTCCAGGACTATTTCAGTTTGACTAGAATCTGCAACCATCAGTCTTACTATTAAAATAGAAAAAATAGTGCCCATTGAGCTGAAATAATGCTGGAGCCCTCCTGGATCTCCCATTTTCTTCTTGGGTTTGATCACTTTACTTCTGCTGAAGATACACCCTTTCCCACTGGACTTCTCAGAGACTGACTTTCTTTTCCTGAGCCCTTGACGTTTTAAATCATCTCTGGAGCTGATGAAGGAAAGAAAAACTAGAAGATATGGAAATCACCCACAGAATTGGGATAGAAACTGTGAGAAATTCTCCAGTTTGACAAGAGGGTTAAGAGATTTAATAGGGTTGAGAATGAGTGAAAATTGTGGAGAAAATATGAATTGTAACAAGATTTTACTACACTTTAATAGCAAAAAGACTTACCTTTATTTTGAGGGGTCAGAAATTAACTGCCTTTCTTTGATGGATTGTCCAGCTAATTCCATCAGTAGCAGGAATTTTTTTCTTCAGAGTCTAGTATTTGTATATTTATGCACAAAGTTATTTTTTTATCCTGATTTCATTTTCTTCTCTTCAATTTAAGGATTTACCCACAACTAAATTATAAGGATTAAAAGTTGTCAGATACCAGAATACAAAAATAACACTTTAATTAGCTTTTTTTCCCGTTCTCTCACTCTTTTTTCCATATGTGCTTTGGAAAGCCTAATCCATTTCTTAATCAAAACACTGGTGATTCCAAATTGAGAATATTAGATTATATAGGGGGGAAAAAGAAAAAAAATTTTAAGTAGAAATTTTCATATTAAAAATATATTTTAAAATTTTTCATATAAATAGTGAATATTTTAAATATTTTCCTAGATGGATGTTAAGTTCATTGCCTTAGAGAAAGAAATTTAACATTGTGAAATTGCTTTGATTTCTTGAATTATCTAAGTCTCCACACCAGTTATTTTCAAAATGTTTACAAAAGAATAATGGTTTAATTTAAAACATTTTTTTAATCTAGATTGTGAATTGCGTTTTACACTTCATCTGACATGATTGCTGCAGCAAATTTTTTTTAGCTCACATTATTTTGTTATTCTTAATAATTGTGAGATTATTATCTTCCTCAGAAATTTGGAACATAAGAAAATCTGATTCATTCTTTGGGTATAGTAAATAAATGATATCATCTTGTTACCAATAAAAAGTAAACTGATAGATTCTTCATTTGATTATTAATAGATAAAGATAATCTCTGAGACCAAAACTGCAGTTTCCTCAACTTGGCTTTTTTTTTTGCTGAATATATTTGTCATCAGGAATGAAATGTGATATCAAATTTTAAAGTAGGAAATTAACTTTCAAAAGTATATTTTATTATTGGTAGTATTGATGTTTAAGTGATGGTAGAGGCAGTCATATCACCACAAAAAGGGAGCATTTGCAAATGAATAGTCTAAAAACAGTGGGCGACTGTCCACTTCTAACCCACTCTAGAATAGTCATGATAAAATAATGATATAAATTGTCAACAGGTCAGATAATTTATCCTGTACCTCTTTCTAAACTAGGAGATTAACCTGGGTTTCTAGCTTTTTTCCTCTTTTGATAATGATTTCCCCAGTCTCTTTTGAGCTTGATTTATAGGATGGTTTTTATTTCCACTAGAAGACAAACTCAACAACACATCATTATTTATCTTTACTGTTGTTTCTAAGCACACACATCACACCACAATAGCACTAATAACAATCTAATGACACTCATTTTCTTAGAAATAATACTCTGTGCCTTATGAAACTATAGAACTTCTATCGTTAATACTTTTTTAGATAATTCCTTCTCATGCTGTGCTGACCTGTCAACTTTATCATCTTCACAATGTAGTACATACTGCACTTGGGAACCATTCAGGAAGCTCAAGCAGTTTTATCGGGTAGCTCTCCATAACATGAACAACTGGCACCTGATTTCACACTTTATCCATCCCTTCATGGCTTAGTTGATGCTTCCAGTTCTTCTATTAATAACAAAATATTTTATTGTCAGGATAATTATTCAGCTTTGGAGATTAGAGCAAGCATGAGGTGCCCAGTAAAAGGTGTAACTGGAAAAACCACATTATGTCAATAAAAAGCAAACATGAGCCCCTTTGTGTGATGATTACTCAAGAGTTAATAGCTTAAGTGAATAATACTCAATTATATGATTACAGATTTGCATGTCAGTATTGTAAAGGATAAAAACACAATGCTCCCACAAAAACTTCTTTCGTTATTGGATACCATACTAGCAATATGACTCCTTTACCAATTCTACTAGCATGTAGCTCTGAAACCTGTAAGAAATCAGGTGATGGACATATGCTTCTTGGCTTATTGAGACATCACTAACATAGGAAAGATGACCCGAAAGACAGCTGTATTGGGCAGTCTTTTCTAGGTTAAAAAAAAAGTGCCAAAGGACTAAGAACACATTTTTTTCATCAAGAAAGTAAATACAATTCCAGAAAATTCCTCAAGTAACTAAACTTTAAAAAAAAAAAACAGTTTATCCCTTGAAAATTTTTTAAATTTAAAAAGATTAATAATTGTAGATTTTCTAAGATCACTGCTTTCTTAAAGGTGCACAAAACTGAAAAATATTCATTGTTAAAGTGTTGTATTTATGGTGAACTGTCTTTGATACATATTTGCTAAATTTAATTTGCTATTTATTAATGTTAATAAAATACAATTAGAAACATTTCTAACTTGTTCAGAGTTTGTCTTTATGCAAACCACTGAGCATGTAATGCCTTTAAAATTTTTTTTCTGTTTTACAAATTAAATTAAGTTGATGTATAACATATAAATTATAGGTGTAAAATATAATGATTCACAAATTTTAAAGATTATACTCCATTTGTAGTTATTATAAAATATTTGTTTTGTAATTCCTTTAAATTATTTCATGTGGAAGAACTTATTTTTATTTAAGCTGTTAATTATAGCTCTACCATGATAAAAAAACTAAACGTCTTAATACAAAATAATGCTTCAATTAGCTATGTACTATATATTTATTTATGTGTTTTATGCTTAATATTTTCGTGTATAAATTCATTTACTAGCAACAACTCTTAAATTGAATAATAAATCTATAAGCAGAACAGTATTCTATACTATTTGCTGTTTAATTCACTCCCAAGCAATTGATATTCCAATTACTGCTAAAATACTACAATTGTAGTTGTCATAGTTCAATACTAGTTTCAAACAACAAAATATGTGATTATTGTGCATTACCTGCAATTTCCTATGATAAGCTCTTAGTGTTTTTTAAAACAAAGAAGTTCTTAAATATTTCTAAAAAATGTGTCTGCCTTAGCAGTTGTTTTTTAGTTTATAAGGGAAATTGTGTCAATGACTTTTTTCTGTCTCTCCCTTTATATATGACTTTGATTTTATTTTTACTTAAAATATAAGGAAGCAAAGCTAATTAGAAAAGGGCATTCTAGGCTTAAACATTTGGTCTGTGATAAAGCCATAGCATATGGTTTACAAAGACAATTTTCCCACTTTATGCTTAAGTACTTTATTAAGGGAAATTTTCTCATTTCTAAAAGATAATGTAAAGTTAAAATGATGCTTTTTAAAAATTCAATTTCATTTATTTTTGGCTGTGCTGGGTCTTGGTTCCTAAGTGGGCTTTTTCTCTAGTTGCAGCAAGCGAGGGGCCACACTTTGTTGGAGCACCGGCTCTATGGTGTAAGGGCTTCAGTGGTTGCGGTGCGTGCGCTCAGTAGTTGTTCCCGGGCTCTAGAGCACAGGCTCAATAGTTGTGGCACATAAGCCTAGTTGCTCCTTGGCATGTGGAATCTTCTCGGACCAGGGATCAAACCCGTGTCTCTTGCACTGGCAGGCAGATTCTTTACCTCTGAGCCCCCAGGGAAGCCCTAAAGTGATACTTTTAAGGGATTTTAAAGTTTGAACAGTGCTAATTTTAAGTTTTTTAAAAGAAAACAAATTTTCTGAGATTTAATAATTCATGTCATGCCAAGTTTCAAACTCAGAAAGTTTGGATTGGATTTCTTATAAAAAATACCCAATGAGTTTTAGGTGGTTCCAATTTAGTAACATTTATTAATATCTTCCCATTGTTTAACTGTTTCCTAAAATATATTCTCTTTCTCCTAACATAAAATACATTATTTTACACCTAAACCCCTTATTTTTTTAATCAAGAAAGCAAGTATTAATATAATGATTTTTAGCCAATTAATTTTATGCCAATTTTATACCAATTAATTTTTTTAGTAATCTGCATTATTTAGAGATGTTTTAGTACATTGATATGTAGTAAAATTTCAACCCCATTTTTATAGGAAGTGATTGCCCTATGGCACAGATTTATAAGATCTAAAGAAAACTTTGTATTACAAAAGTAATTTTTGCAGTGTTTTATTATTTTAGGATGACAATACACAAATAATTTAAATGTGAAATTTAGAAAACTTTTACCGAAATGAGCACAGGAAAACTCAAGTTATAAACTGACATAGCATGGATATGGACACAAAGTCATAAAATTTCTTCCAAAATGTAATTATTTATTTTTTAAAACCATAATATTTTGCAAGTTATTGAAAATATGATCTGTCTGTATATTGTGCCCAATATCACTGGTGTATAACTGAAATTGGCTGACTGTTTTCACTGAATTGATTAGTCATACCAACTTTGTATGGCCTTCCTAGGTGGCCCTAGTGGTAAAGAACCTGCCTGCCAATGCAGGAGACATAAGAGACACGGGTTTGGGAGGTGGGAGGGAGGATCAGGATGGGGAATACATGTAAATCCATGGCTGATTCATGTCAATGTATGGCAAAACGCACTACAATATTGTAAAGTAATTAGCCTCCAACTAATAAAAATAAATGAAAAAAAAAAAAGAGAGAGAGAGACACACGGGTTTGATCCCTGAGTTGGGAAGATCCCTGGAGAAGGGCATGGCAACCCACTCCAGTATTCTTGCCTGGAGGATCCCCACAGACAGAGGAGTCTGGCAGGTTACACCCATAGGGTTGCAAGGATTCTGACACAACTGAAACGATAGGGATACAGATTGAAGAGCCTTGACTTCATAAAAGACTTAAGAGGGAGCCTGGTTAGAGACTATATATATACCATGAAGATCAACATTACCATAATTAACTGTGTAACTTGGACCACTCCAAAATATTGACACTTGCCCTACTTACCTAGGAAAGGACCTAAAGCTGCTCTCTTGACTTGAAGTACAAAGTTTAGTTTGAAACACAGGTTATGCCAGAGTTAGAGGAACGTTTTAGTGGGAAATGTTATATCAAGGACTCCAAATAACTGAAGATCATCCCTGAATATATTAATGTTCGGAGCCATGCTTTCCCCATTAGTATATCTCTCAGCTTACCTCATTTTGCTACATACCACCTCATAGTGTACTTGTTAATATTCCTTAAACAGCTTAGGCAAATTATCGCTGATATATGTTTGGGGGTAAATAAATATTTTCATTTTCTCCTCACAATGTGGCTGTTGGTACCCAAAAAGAGTTTTGCAGGTGAGTTTTCATTATAAAATGTCATTTGGGGAGAGCAGAAAAGCGGACTCCTGGTAAAGTATAAACGAGTTTGTTTTGTGGGACTTCTATGCTCAAAGATGGAATTTCCATCCTAGAATTATAGAATTTTGAAATGGAAAAGCTCATAAACAATTTTCCAGTCCAACCATTTCTTTTATCAGAATAATCTGAAGCCCAAAGGTTAAGTGGGCTTCCCTGATGGCTTAGCTGGTAAAGAATCTGCCTGCAATCTGGGAGACCTGGGTTCAATTCCTGGGTTGGGAAGATCCCCTGCAGAAGGGAATGGCTACCCACTCCAGTATTCTGGCCTGGGTTGTATACTCCATGGGTTTGCAAAGTTCAGGCACTGAGCGACTTACTTTCAAAGGTTAAGTGACTTATTGAAGATCACATAATTTGTTGCCTAGACAAGTTCCTAGAACAGTGTTTTTTCTTGGCCAGATGGTGTGACGTATATTATACTTCCTCAATTCTCTTTTTTTTTTCTTCTCAATTTTCTTTTTAAAACATGGAAATTAAACATAATGTTATAAATAAAACTATTAGGCTAATCTCTCTCCTTGTTTATTTATAAGCCAGAAAGAAAAATCAAATGTAGAACAATCATGACAGACTTTTCAAAGAAATAGATACTGCAGATTTGGAGCCCAATTCTACCTGGACCCTCAAATACATGGTTTCTTCAGCCCTACTTGGACAGAGAAATGTTGAAAGTTTTTTGCTTTTGTTTTTTTAGAAAGAGAACATTTGGCAATACAAAAAAAAGAAACAAACACAAAACACACTTATTTGAGGGTAAGAGAGTTTTTCCCAAATAACAAGTGTAGCCATTTTGTTTCAATAATTTATAATTCAGGTATGCAGAAAGAATGAGGACTGTTGCTCTCCTTAAATGAGAAGCTGGAGCCCAAGGGGCATGAAGTGGGGAAGATAAATCTTAAAAACTCAAATGACAAGTTCCTTCTATAGAGTGAGACACGGAAACCACACAAACCCAGATTGTGCAATCTTTAAAGTCAGTGAGTGATAAAGCAACTACTTCATAGATGAAGATAGACAACATGCTCTTGGACTTACAAGGGAACACCCTTCATGTGAGCAAGAAAAGAACATAATTTAGCTTAATATGAAGTTGTAATTAAGACCTAAGGGGGGGAAAAAAAAAAAGACCTAAGGGAACACTATAAAATGAATTTTTGAGCAGTTCTCCATGGTAACTTTAATGAGTCTACATTTTAGCTCTTTCTCAACATCCTCCATCTACAGCTTAAATGCACGCAGCAGTTGCCAGCCATGCCCATGAATTCCCGATGTCCCAGCCGAGTGCTTCTGCCTCTGAACTCTAAAAATCCGCTTGCTGGACAGGGGTTAACCATATCCGGAAAGCTTTAGAAGAGGTCTGCTGGGCAGCAGGATTTCTGTTGATAAGAGGCCTCTTGTTGGACTGGAATCCAGGAGCTGTGGGAAACCCAGAAAAAGCAAGGCTCAGATGGGAATACAAAGGTATCAGCTCCCGACATTGGGAGTTTCTCTCTCTGCCAAACCCCACAGTCGGGGAAGAATTGACATCTTCCCCAAATCCCACTCCCAAGTAAATTTCATTTGCTATCTCATCCTCAAGTTAGAATGAGTTACTAGTTAATTAATTAATGCAATTATGCAAGCATAATTGTAAGCCACTCTACTGACATAAAGATGTTTTTAACCTTTAATTACCAGGAGAAAATGGACAAAGTGGAGTTTGAGCACCTATCTTGAAGAAAAAACTAGGAAATAATAGTTCCTCCCACCATGCACACCACTCCCAATCCATTCTACCTAAAAATCCTTTGATTGTGGGTTTTATTTTCATTTTAAAAATCATTATTTTAAATTAGGTCTCAAAGAAAGAAGTTGGCATTTCTTATTCTTTTCAGAGTGGTCTGGGAAATGCAACATCAGTGCATCTGAGAAAAAAAATTGGAAAACAAGATCCCTTGTAATTTTGTTTTTGAATCAATACCCGAAATAATGACCAGAAGCAAAAATCTACCGGTGCGTCAGCAAGCAGGATGCTCCGCCAGTCAGCTTCATCCTTCCCCCCTGAGCTGTGGGCTCCACGCCGCCGCTTCGGGTCCCTAAAGCAGGTAGATAATGTAGGACAGAATGACCAGGCCTATGATGGCAAAGAACATCAGGATGAAAATATCCAGCATTGTGGAGTCCTTGGCCGAGGAAGCCTCTGGATTCCGAGGAAATGTGAGCACGGAGACTGCAGCCAGTGGAGAGAAATGGCTCCCCTTTCCCTCTATAGCTTAGCCCTCCTTTCCCCCTCCCCCCTCCAGTGCCTGAGACTAAGGGATACTGCGGCTCCATCGGCAGCTTACTACCCGCCCCCGTGCTCCCCTCCTTCGCCCAACCAATCAGAAAGCTCGGGAGCGGGTAACCAAGGAACTGCTCGATTTAGACCAGGCAGAAATGAAGAGGCTCAATTTCTCCCCAGGAACCCAATCCTACCCTTTGTATCTAAATGGAGTCTGTATATTATGGAAATAGGGAAGAGATCTGACCTGTATCCAGGTGCCCAAAGAATGATACCTTCTGAGTGCTTTTCTTCTCTTTTTCCTCTCATGAATCCTTAGCAAAGGAACTCAAAATGATGGTTGGGGGCTGGGTGGGCCATTGGCACGTTGCAGTCAGATTATGGAGGGACAAGGACAAAGGTCTCACGTGTGTTTCAGATGGCATCTCAAGGGGATGGAGCTGAGACTTAACGGGATTCCTATATTGTGTCAGATATTGCATTCGTGGTGTAATTTCAACCTCCCTGCAAGTCTTTTATAGATGAGGCTCAGAGATGATCAGTAACCTGCCTAATGTTTCACTGGAAAGGCCAGAGACCAATTCAAAACTAGGCTTGTGCACTCCGGAATCCACATTCTTCTGTCGCCCCAGACCGGCCCACCCTGTCAATCTGAAATCCCCTCAGGTCGACCTGCGCTTCTCAGCTTGCATTTTGCACAGATCCTTCCTATGCCTGTGAGCATCAGAGGCCTCTCCTCCAACCATTCCTTATCTCTTTGTGGTCATTTCCCACATCCTTATCCTCTCTTATATCCTCTTCAGAGCTCATTGCAGTGTTATACCCAGAGAGGGCACTAAAGAACTCTCCGTCAGGCCCATCCCTGTGCAGTTAAGTGTTTAGAAATGCAACTCAGGTGACCTTTTTTTTTTTTAATTGAAGTAGAGTTGATTCACAACTTTGTGTTAATTTCTGCTGTACAGCAAAGTGATTCAGTTGTACATATATATCTTTTTCTTATTTTCCAAGTGGCTTTTTCTGAGGGGAAAGAATTGATGTTTCATAGTTTAAGCTGGGTGGTGGGTAGTTATGCCTTGTTTTTATTATGCCTTTTGCCTTATTTACTATTAAATTAAAAAACAAAAGCAAAAAAAAAAAAAAAAAGCAAGTTCCCTGTGACACCTCTGAGGCCTAGTGTCCTTGGCTCCACCCTAACTAGCTCCTTTGAGGGGCACAGGATGGGGGCAACAGCAGCCCCTTCGTCATGCTAAGCCTCAGGAACTTAGGCTGCTTTAGAAGGGAGTCTAGAAACTGCTTGCGTGGGTTCGCATAAGGAGGCAGAGCAAGAGCTTCCTGTGAGTTGGGAGTGGAGACTTGGCACTGGTTCCCTCCCAAGCACTGTCCCGAAAAGGGGAATGAATGAAGCCTCCTGGGGAGAGGGGGCTACAGCTCTGCAGCAAACAGGGGCAGGCCAATGGAGGCAAGATTTGCCAACTCAATGTCTGCTACTGGGGACACATTAGGCCTCCCGTGGTGTCAGTACCATCTGTAATTATCCCACCCAGAGCTGCCTCAGCTGCTCGGAGCAGCCGTGTCACCTCCTGATCACAAAGGCTCTCACTTTGGGGAAAGCCCTTTTCCTCTCCACCCTGCTGCTATCCTGAAGCCAGGGGAAGCCTGAATTCTGCGCCCAGGATGAAGAACGCCGCTCTCCACAAGGCCGCAGCACAAGGCTGACTGGTGGCCCCCGAGCTGCGGACAAAGGATCTGGATTCCTTCTCTGCCACCTCCTTTTCCCAACTGGGCAGAAGAGGGGAGGCAGGCTGCCTGACCTGGTCAAAGTTCAGACCCAATGCACCTGGAGCAAAGAACTGAGCCTGGGAGATACTGTGAGGTGAGGGCAAAGCGTGTGGGTGCAGGGTTCCTGTCAAGGTCACGGCAGGAGGCCAGGAGCATCACATTAGGGTCCTGAGACCTCCAGCCTTGCCACTAGCTGGCATGACTCCCACCAAACCACTGCCTTCCTGGGCTTCAGGGAACCCCATCTGTAAGATGGATATCAAGCAGTTACTTCTTTCATAGGGCTGTTCATAAAGTCAAAGGGGAAAAAAAGTGTGTCTAAAATGCCCCTAAGGAGACAGGACACACACACACACACACACACCACCTGAAGACCAGAGAGAGCAAGCCAAGTCCGCAGGTAAAAATTATACTTTTATTTGAGTCACCAGGAGAAAGATTCACTTGTGGTCCAAGTCAAATGTTCAGAATCATAACAGGCCAGAAAGATTTGATCCCAAGCACAAGCCCACGAGGGAGGGGACCAAAACAGACCAAGAAAAGACAACCACCCCATATAAAAAGATGAATGGACGGCTTCACACACACACACGCACGCACACACACACAGATGAAATGTTTGGACAGAAGCAAATTCCATGTGATCATTTCTATTTCTTTTTAAATACAGGTTTGTGGGGTGGTATTTTTTTTTTCCAGCTATTTAAAAAAAAAAAAGGCCCAAAAGTGCATATGTGAGGGGGGAAAAGGCAGAAATTAAGCAATAAAGTAGTTTTCCCTGGAGGGACATGAGGAAGAAAACAGGAAGCAATATTGAGAGAATTCACTTTTCTCACCATTGGGCTTCTTGCATTTTATTATTGGTCCACTAAAGTTATATTCACATTCTAGCTTTGTTGCATCTTCTTTCCTGGGATTAGATTGGCTAAAAAAAAACAACCCTCTGTGAACTGTAAGAAAAGACCAGGGACTTGGTCCAGCCCTCAGGTTCTGTGCTCTGCTAGGGATGGATGATTCTGGAAAGGAATAAGGACTCTCAGCAGCCCCTAGATCCCTCAGCACCAGTGTGATAGTCCCTCCTCTCTCTGGGGGTGTGTAAGAAAAGGTCCCCTATTTTTAGGATGGGAGGAACCAAGGGCTGGCAGCAAGATTCCAGTGGCTGGCTTGCCTTGTTTTGGAAGAAAAATTAAGCTGAGTGAAAACAGGCTACTTCTTGCTCTCCAGCCCCCATTCCCAGCTTCTCACTTCCCTGCCAACCACAGGTTCTCCAACAGGGTATGTCTCTCTGACCTTTGGTCCCAGAATCCACATTGTGCTTTGAGATTAAGAGGAAATAGAATGGACTAGTGTCTGCCCACGGCTCCCAAAATCGTTCCTTCTCTGCCTCCCTCATCCCCCACACTGCCCAATATAAGACTCTCCACCCACCCTCACCGTGGCTGTGGCCAAGGAGGGAAAGAGATTGGTCAGTCAGGCAGGGGCTCAAACCTCTGATCTGGGGTAAATATTCCCAAGCCAGCTCACAAGCAGTGAGGACTAGATGTTAAACATGCCTGTAGGCCCCTCCATCTCCTGCAGGGCACAAGGGTGCAAAGATGGCAACAACAGGGCCTGAGTCAGTGGCCTTGGGGTAAATATGGGAAGGGGAGACCCAGAAGGGTGACAGGAAAGCCCAGAGATGAATAAAATCAGGCAAGGGTGGTCACAGCCACCCACGAGTGAGAGAAGGGACTTGGAGATAGCACCATCTTTCCCTTCCTCAACTCGGGTCTGCGCTTCCAGTTTCGTAGCCCTGGGACCCTCTCTCCCTTTATTTCAAGGAGACTTTAGGTAAATGGGCCAGCTGGGGGAAGGGCAGGGTGGGAAGGAAGATGGGAGAACTCAGTGTAGGTGACACAGGGTCCCCTGGCTCCCTATCTACAGCCCAGGACACAGACATGGGGGGAAAGTATCTGCCTGGAGTCATGAAGTCTTTCCTCTCCCCACTCCTCCACCACGCTACAGGCCCCAACATCAGCCTCCGTCAGGTACACACCCCCTCCTCACTTCTGCACTTTGGAAAGTGGGGTGGTGGGCTTCCTCCATCCAGGGATAGAAGGAAAGGAGGGATTCTCATTCCAAAGAAAACATAAGGAATTTATCTCCCTCAAGGACCTCCCTCTGTGCACCCTCCTGAAAGCCCACAGCCTGGCTGCTTCTCTCACACTCGCTCGCACACTCGCCTGTCACAGACACCTGCAGACACCCACTCCTTCCCCCTCAAGGAAGTCGTGGAGATGCAGAGCAGGCTGTGGCTTCGAACAGTCCAGTCCCCCTGGGGTCAGATCAGGTGGTGTGGGATGGGGGGAGGCCATGGAAGGCCCCAAGCTGCCTTCCCAGGAGGAGCGGCCCATCTAACTAGGTCTCAGGGGCTGGGTTGCACGGCTGAGAGGCCTGAGGCTTCCTTGCCCCATCTTTCAGGAGGAGGCAAGCCAGGGATCCTGGAGACTCAGTGGGAAGGAGAGAAAAGGGCTGTGAAGAGAACACCCCGTTCCCCTTTCCTGCAGCTGTCCCTAAAGCAGAAAGGTGAGACGCGGACCCAAGCCGAGCTTCCAGCTCCTCGCCCACACCAGGCCCGGGTGAGCAGGAGAGCGAAATCACAGTGTGAAAAGGAACCGTGGGGAAGGATGAATGAACACCAAAGCAGGAACTTTACCGCCTCTGTCCACCGTGAGCGGGAAGACGGTGGTGAGGGGACCTCGTGGAGGGCCGGCAGCCCCATCTGAGACGCAGAGGCAGAGCCCACCTCACTGGCACAACAGCAGCACCCTCCCCACCCCCACCCCCATCCCAGGGCACGGGCAGCAGGGTCCCACTCCTGGGAATGTGTGGAGCCCCTCCTCTGGGAGTCCTGGGGGTCTGGGGCTCACCTCAGTCCTGGAATGTTTGGATGTATGAGGAGGTGGGCAGGAGGGGCTGAGGGGCAGAAAAGAGAGAAGGCAGAGGCCTGGGAGCCAACGGGTCGCCCACCCAGACCATCCCCACAGGCCTTGGCCTCCCACAGAGCGGTTCACATGTGTTCCATCCAGAGAGAAAACCAAGAAGTTGGTCAAGGGAAAAACCTGCCAGAAGGGGAGCTGCGAAAGTGGCAGAACAAGGCTTCGGTTGGCAAAAGAAGCTGGAAGAGGGGGAGGACAAACAAGCTGTTGCAGAATTTAAAAAACAGAGACACCGAAGGGTGGACAGGTCACGCCCAGGACAGACGCGATGCTGTGGAATGCACTGAAGACGGATGGGGCGGGCGGTGCCCGGCGGGCTCAGATGGCCTCCACGTAGTTGGCTGGCAGCATCCCCGTGTCACCGGTGCGCTCCACGGTCCCGTACATCCAGCCGTCGTCGATCTGCTGCACGTTGACGATGGTGTCCCCATCTTGGAAGGAGACCTCGTCCTCGTCGGCAGCACTGTAGTCGTACACAGCACGGTACCGTTTCTGCAGGGGTGGGGGCGCGGTCAGTCAGGGTGCCTACCTCTCTGGGGCCCCGGAGCAGAGGGCACCAGGAGCTAGGAGACAAGGACGGGCTAGGCTCTGCCTCAAGTTTTCTCACCTCTATGTCACACTTTCTGAGAGCGATCACCTTATTAACACTGTATCTGGCACCTCCTAAGGGCCAGACACAAACAGGGACGGCAGTTACAATACCTCCACCCCGTCTCTCAGAACAGGAATACAGTACTGTCCAGTGGACATCATGCTGGGTTGAGTTTAAAATTATGACTTGCCCTGCGTGCTATTATCTGTATTATTATAAACACCAGTCTTTTTTTTTTTTTTTGAAGCTGTTGATGAATCTGGTTCTTAAGTTCAGGATAAAGACCAACTCCTAGGAGAAAAAACTCCAGGTGATACAAGTACCTGTCAGGTTCTACCTTCCAACCTCAGCCAAAGTCTCGTGTTTAAACCCCAGCTCTAGGAAATGTCCAGTAAAAACACATGAAATCCAACTGTGATCTTGGAAGCAGGCAAGATTCTAACGTCCTCTGACCATCACTGCCCTTGACACTGACTTGTCTCTGGGAGTCGGCTTAGCCTTTAGGGTCCCCCAGGCCAGGTTCTGGGATCCGTTTGGGTCCAAGGCTGGATGAATCCATCAGAAATCAGAATCTTCCCCAGCACCCCACCCCACCTCCAAGACCCTGTTCAGACATTCTGTTTCCATTCCCCTGGTCTGCCTCCTCCCACTGTTCATCTATTGTGATCTCAGGAGGAACTTTCCAAACTGCAAAACTGATGAAGTTACTTCCTGGCTTTAAACCCTTCAGAGGCCCCCTATCCTATTTAGCACAAAACTTCAAATTCCCCCCACCCTCCACCGCGCAGCAGAAACCAGCTTCATCAGCCCTAAAGACTATGGAATAAGAGATCACAACCCTCCAGGCTTCTTATCCTGCTTTCCAGATGAGGAAACACAGGTTCTGAGAAAGTAATCTATCTAATTCCTGCAGGATTGATTCATAACCTCTCCCAATCCAATGCTCTTCATGCACTACTTTTTTTTTTTCATGCACTACTTTTATAACCAGAAAAATAAATATTAGAAACCACCACCAAAAAAAAAAAAAAAAAAGGTCACAACCCTCATGGAATGACTGAAGTGACCTCAGTCCTTATCACCAACTGTGCCTTTAATCTCTTGGGTCAAGTCACCACCATCTACGCCTGCATCCTGTAACAGCCACCCAACTCATCTCCCTGCTTCCACCCTCAACTTTTTATTGCTGCTTCTCAACACAGTTGCTGAAGCCAGCTTTTAAAACACAAGTCAAAGCCCTTACTCTGCACAGCTTGCCAGTCATGATGGCCTCCCGGCAGCCTGAAAGGCAAAGTGTTAGTCGCTCAGTCATGTCCGACTCTTTGCGACCTCATGGACTGCAGCCTGCCAGGCTCCTCTGTTCACGGAATTCTCCAGGCAAGAATACTGGAATGGGTAGCCATTCCCTTCCAGGGGATCTTTCCAACCCAGGGACTGAACCTGGGTCTCCTGCATCGCGGGCAGATTCCTTACCGTCTGAGCCACCAAGGAAGCCGGAAGCCTGCAAGTCCTTGTGTGATCAGACCTGTCCCTCTCCAGTCACCTTGGCATTCCTGCAGATCTCTGAACTCTCCTAGAACTCTCCTGCCTCAGGGCCTTGACACTTGCTGTTCACCACTCATTCCTTTACTGAGCCCTTTGCTGCCCCCTCCCCTTCTCACCCTGCTGTCTTTTTCTTCAGGGCTTATCTATGACCTTTTGCCACATACACACTTATCTATTCGTCTGTCTCCCTGACTGGAATGTGAGTTCCTGAGAGGGCAGGAAGGTGAACTTTTACTCAGAACAAATCCCTTCTGTCCAGAACATGCTCAGTAAGTATTTGAAGCACTGGCTGGTCTATCTGGAACCTTAGCCTTCAGGTGACCTCTCAGACCCACCCAGCACTGACACCCAGACACTCCAGACAGCACTGACAGTTCCTTCCCTCACTTGTGCATCTGGAGCCTGAGGCCCCAGCAGGTCTCTTATCTCAGGCTACTTTATTTTTCTGAGAATTGTCCCAGCCTTCTTTTCTAAAGGCTGTCCAATACAACAAAACAAAACAAAAAAAGGGTGTCCAAGAAGGGTCTTTTCGAAAGGGACATCCAAGAAGCCTTCCCTAGGCTCACCCCACCTCCCACACCTCCCTCCGCCAGGGCCACTCACCCCGCCCCCGCCTGGGGCGCTGCGCTGTATGGACACCGGGGCTGCAGGCTCCTTGTAGCCGCCGTAGGACTGGGCTGCCGGCTGCTGCTGGGGCTGCTGGTACACTGGAAGCCAGCGGGGGACCGGCTCAGGACCTATCCTGCCAAACCCAGACCCGCCCCGAGCCCCCTCCCTTCCTCCATGAGACCATGTCATGTATTTCCAACCCCACAAGCTTCTCAACCCCCACTTCTCAAGGGCTTCTGTCTGTCTGCACACATGCTGCTGACACATCCCAGCTGCATCCTCCCCATCACAGCGGGGGCCAGCACCGCCCTGATGTACTCGAGGGTTCCCTCTCACCTCCTCCCCACAGCCCTCCCACTCACCTGGGGCGCTGGCGGGGATGTGGTGAGGCTGCTGCTGCTCCTGGGGCCGCCGGTAGCTGCTCTCCTGGGGATCTCGGCGCTCGGGCTCCAGACCTTCACCCCCACTGGGTCCCATGCGACTCTTCTCAAACTCCTCGTGGTATTTTATCTGCAAGGACAGAAAGCACTGGCTGAAGGACCCACAGCAAGCCAACCAAAGCTCCCCTTTTCCATTGCCACTCAAGATCCTGGGATGGGAAAGACTCCTGCAGGACTCCAGGCCGAGAGAGCCAGATTCTCATCAGGGGTGTGCCGCGCCCTGCCCTCAAGCAAACACTTAACCTCGCCAAGTCTAGTTTCCACCTTACAGAGGTGAGCATCAGGATCTCCCCTCAGGGGTTGCTGGAGGATGCGATGAGATGTGGATGTAAAAGGACCATGTAAGCTAAAGTATTAGTGCCTCAATTGTGTCTGACTCTTTGCAGCCCCATGGACTGTAGCCTGCCAGGCTCCTCTGTCCATGGGATTTTTCCCAGCAAGAACACTGCAGTGGGTTGCCATTCCCCTCAGAAGGGAATGAATGTAAGTGAAAGCACCAGACGAATGTAAGCAGTCAGTATTATGTCCCTGTGGCAGGGCTGGAGCTGCCCTGCGTCCACCCTGGCCCATAGCAGTGACTCTGGTTTAGAGCATCTGCTAGGTGCCAGGCACTATGCCAGGCGTTCTGCATCACAGGCTCGTCTTACCATGTCAGCACCTGTACGGGGGTACAGTACAGACAAGAAGGAGACTAAAGCACTGACAAGCAACATGAGTTACCCATGCTCACGGAGATTTCAGAGCCTGTGCTCTTAACCAGCAGGCGATTCTGCCCCTTGTGGGTGTGACCTCATAAAACTCCACTCCCCAGCCTGCAGGACAAGAAATGCCCAGCCCTCTCCAAGGGTATGTCAGTATCTGAAAGATGAGTTCCTTCTCTCCTCGGGTTAAAAAATGGGCAAAAAGAGACCTGAAGAAGCCACACACCTTAGGCCTTCACCAAGGACCACCAGGACCCAGAATTGTGTTCTTCAAGTCTGGTCTTCAGACTATCTGCTAAACCCAGGTTCCAGTACCTTCCATAGAATCTACAGTATCAGGGTAGGGATTTTAGAATGTGCACCTTTATTCTTTCTTTTGGAGGGAATATGCGCTTCTAAGGGGCTCCCCAGGTGGCGCTAGCGGTAAAGAACCCACTTGCTAATGCAGGAGACATGGGTTTGATCCCTGGGCTGGGAAAATCCCCTGGAGAATGTCATGGCAACCCACTCCAGTACTCCTGCCTGGAGAAATCCCATGCACAGAGGAGCCTGGCAGGCCTACAGTCCATAGGGTAGGTATACGATCCATAACACAAAGAGTCAGACATGACTGAAGCGACTTAGCACACACAGACTTATGCACTTCTAAAAGCTCCCCAAGGTGAGTCTGGGCCTTGAAGGCTCAAGTTTGAGAACCAGTGATCTGGAGCAGAGGTTGGCAAACTCTGGTCCATAAGCCCGCAGCCCATGTGCTCATGGTCTGCATATGAGCTAAAAACAGGTACTATGTTTAGTAACGTTTGGAGCCTGTGGGGAGAGTTAAAAGGAATAAGGTTGATAACACAAGAGATTTCTATGAGATTCAAATTTCAGTGTCCAGAAATAAAGTTCTACTAGAATAGTCACACCCATTCATCTCCATATTATCTCTGGCTGCTCTCACTACAGAGCTGAGTAGCTTTGACAGGCCCTTCAGCCCACAAAGCCTAAAACATTTACTCTCTGGAGCTCTACAGAAAAAGTCTGCTGTCCCCTATTTGCCCAAATATTCCTGTTGGTAATATCTGTTTCAGCACAATCCTCCCAAATTGCACCTACTGTATAAATTACACACAAGTACCACTTTACACACATGGAATGTCTATACACATCTGGGTGTAAAATGCACAAATATGAATAAAACAAAGGATGAAAAAGAACAAGCATCAGGAGTTCTGGGATTTTCTGCCTGCATTCCCAGTGGCAACATGCCCACACCCCACCTTGAGGACCTACTGACTTTTCAGAGAGGATAGGGGGAAGGAAGCAAGCAACCGAGAAGAGGTGGAAGGTCCATGGTTAGCACCCCGGGAGCGCCGGGCTGGGGCTGGTGGAGGAAGTGAGCCAGTGACGAAGAGCACCCACCCCCAGAGGAAACTCAGAAAGGGGGGCACAGAAAACTGGTCTGGTGCTGAGCAGACCCAGGCCTGAATTCTCTCCAGACCTCAGACCACCACCGGCCTGGAGGCCTGGTTCTCACTTCCGGTTCACTAGGATCCTGCCCTGCGCTGCTCCCAGTGGAAAAGGGGGTGGGGTGAGGCGGACAGGGTAAGGAGGGGGCAAGCCTGCCCTGCCTCCAGGACCAGAAGGAACCTGCAATTCTGTGCTCAGGAACCTGCCTGACCCAGCTCTCCGAGCCCAGGTGCTCCCGTGGTCCACCCCTTCTCACTTTCTTTGCTGCTTTCTCGCATCCGCTTTGTAAGGAGGGCAAGAGCTAAAACTCAGCCAGGAGCAGCCGGGCTGTAAGTCTGCAGGGGTGGTCGACTGGGCCCACCCGCATCTCCCTGCTGCTCTTCCGCTGTTGAATGACGGTGACTTACTGCAGCCCGGGCTGGGAGAACAGGTGGGGCAGCAGCACAGCTTGGGATGGGCCGGTGGGGAGGCAGGGAGTGCCTCACTTAGGGGTTTGGGTCAGGATGAGCCCCCCTCCTCCTCTCGCCCCTTTCCTTCAGGCCCAAGCAAGGACCCACACCCAAAGAGCAAAATAAACCGAGCCAGTTCCTGAAGGGGAGACAGCTGGCCCTGGTCAGGCTGAAAACCCATCGGATCCCCAAATTCCCATGAAGTAGAACACCCAGGGGTGAAGGTCAAGGGCCAGTATCCTGCTCTCAGATCCCTAAGACGAGGGCAAAAGGTGATTCTCTCTTGAGCCCACTCAGTGAGCCCCCCTCCTCTGGCAAGGAGTAGGGGGTGAGTGGGGACAAGGAGACGCCTCTAGGCTCTCAAGGCAACTGCCCTTTTGACTTCTGTCCTGGGGGTGGGAAAGATGAGCTTCCTGTGTTTACTTTCTGGTAATGAAAAGAGGCCTGACCCCAGGAGCTAGTGACCACGTGGAGGCAGACAGAGGCCTGCCGCGGGCCCTGAAAGAGCCAGGACGTGGGCTGAGGGGCAGGCCCCCACTATCCTGGTTGACAGTCTACTTCTCAGGATGCAGCTCTGTCTGTATTAGTGAAGGGGTGACTCTTGGAGGAAGAAGCACATCTGGGTCCCATCCCCCGTCATGTTGTAGACTCAGTCCTTCATGGAGGACTGCACGTCCCTCCCACACCGCACCCCTAGAGTCACGAGCCATTCACTTGCTCATGTGAACTTGGAAGAGTCCTATCCCCTCTGGGCCTGAATTTCCTCATCTTAAAAAGAGGCCATGGCACCATCTGCTCCCATGTGGTCCGGTCCTAAGGCTTCCAACTACCTCTAGGAACCTAGCCAAATCCTAGAGCTGAAAGCAAGTCTGGATGTGTGTTCGTTTCCACAAGTGGCTGATGGGATCCATCTTGCTCCTTAAAAAGCCACTCTACGCAGGGCCAGCTGATCCAGGTGGACATAGCAGTGGCAGCCTGAACACAGGAGAACCCTTCCCACCACCGATACAGGAACCACCTGCTCACTGTGATAACCCTGACTCAGCTCTTCACACTGAGTTCTCTGCATATAATCTCCCTTGGCCTTGACAATAATCACCCTTAAAAAAAAGTCCCATAGGTACACTTTAATTTCCATTTTACAGAAGTGAAGTGACTTTCATTAGTCAGGGGTAAAGCTGGTGATACAAGGACAAAGCCACAGCTGGACGGGTCCTTTCCTGGGACAGGGTGACACATGCCCAAGTCTGCCCCTGGTCCCAGTTCATGTCTTCTAGAACAAATATGAATAGCACTCCCTTTCGCTTTCAAAAGGGATGATAATCACAAGGTCACCCTAACTTCAAGAGAAGGGGCGCCAGGCACTGAAGTCAGGAGCGGCCGCGCAGAACGGAAGTAGACTGAGAAAAGTAAGGCTGCAGCTCCCTTCCCGCCCTGGGGGCCACCTGATAAAATTTCAGTCCTCTCAACTTCCTCTCCCTCCCCTGCACAGGAAACAAGGAAACTATTATTACTTTGCTGATCAACCTAATAGTTTGAGAAGCAAAGAGGCACCTTAAAGGGTGTGAGCACATCCACAAGGGAAATAAACACTTATCAGAGGCCAAGGCCCTAGTTGTTCTCAGTCCCAGGCTCAGCAAAGTTCCAGTCATCTAAGTGCCCTGAAAAGGGGTCACCATAAGCTCAGAAACGTCAGCAGAGGCCCAGCCGAAAACTGTCCTGGGACCCCAAGGAAGGACACCCGGAGATCCAAGTGCACGGAGGTGGAGGGGTCCAGGCCCCTGAGGACACTCCCCACTCACCCAGGGCCCTGCCAGCCAGGACTCCAGGGTGACTCGTTGAGGGTCCATTCCAAAGCTATGGAAAAAGCATTTTCTCTGCCAGCTGATGGTCTGTTTTCTGAACCCGTGTTTTCCTTCCTGCTTGTGGTGGAAAACCAAGGTCTGACTCCACACTTGCTCCCACATGATTCCACATCACAGCCAAGAAAGGAATATCAGGCTCTGGATGGAATAATTAACTCACCAGCCAAGGTCTGGTTTTTCTAACAATGTTTCCATTTGTTGCGGACCTCTGTGGTGCCCTTATATGCATTACTCATTTCCTTTTCTCAGCCAGCCCAAGAACAATGTACTACGATCATCCCCATTTTTCAGACAGGGAAACCAAGGCTCAGGAGGTAGGTAACAGGTGCATAAATGAGTCCTACCATCAGCTCCTTAGTTCTTAACCACTTTAACCACCACAAGTAATGCCGTGCCTATGAGAGACTAACACTATTTTGTTTTTAAAACAAATGTAAATCTGTGCTCGACTTCATTACTAATCACAGAAATGCAAGTTAAAACCATGAGATACTACTACACACAATCAGAATGGCTAAATTGAACAAGTCTAAGGATGCAGAGCAATGGAAACTCATCAGTGCTGGCAAGAGGGTAAATCAATACCACTGCTTGAACAGTTATTTCAGCGTTATCTGGTAAGGCTGAGGGAACATAGCTTCCAAGATCCAACAACTGCCCTCCACGTTAACACTGGGAAATATGCATGAAGCTGTCCACAGACACGGAAGCAATCCAAATGCCACCAACCCCAGAATCAACAAAATGTGGGATAAGCAGCTTAAGCGGAATATAACACAACAACAGAATAGAATAAACTACAGCTTCATGATGCTTTAAACCCAGTGTTGCCCCAAGGATATGACACACACAAAAATACTGTATGTTCAAAATTGGGGAAAACAAAACTACAATATTCAGAAATGCATAGTTATGGAGGGGGGATAAATTAGAGGAGTTTGCGATACATATACACACCACTAAATATAAAATAGATAACCACAAGGACCTACTGTTATAGCACAGGGAACTATACTCAATATCTTATAATAAACTATAAGGGAAAAGAATCTGGAAAAAGTTAACTGAATCACTTTTCTGTACACTTGAAACTAATACAACATTGTAAACCAATGTACTTCAGTTTTAGTTTCTTTTTCTTTCTTTCTTTCTTTATTTTTTTATACTTCAGTTTTAAAAAAAGAAAAAAATATTACATACTTAAAAAAAAGCATACAGGGTGTCCAATAAGCCCATCTCCAGCCATTTGACTCTGGGGCTAGAATTTTCTTTGACTTTAACTACTGATTGGGCCCAAACTATAAGGACTAAAGGGTTTCCAAGGTGGTGCTGGTGGCAAAGAACCCACCTACCAATGCAGGAGTCATAAGAGACATGGATCGGATCCCTAGGTCAGGAAGATCCCCTGGAGGAGGGCATGGCAACCCACTCCAGTATTCTTACCTACAGAATTCCATGGACAGAAGAGCCTGGTGGGCTACAGTCCATAGCGTCACAAAGAGTCAGACACAACTAAAGCGACTTAGCACATATGCATGCATGCATAAGGCCTGAAGTTAATTTAAGAAATACGAGCTGCTAATTATTTCTGACTGTAAGAAATGCAAAAGATTTCTGCCTGTAGCAAGGCTATCTCCAAAGCTTATGGTTTTACAGTCCTGTAGGACATTAACTAGTTCTGCAGCTAATGGCAGAACACTAACCAGTTCTAACCTAATTATATCCAGTGCTTTCTTTCACAGACTAGGCCTCACCTCTGCCTGTCAGATGCTCCCAGCTGCTTCCTCATAATTAAGTTAATTATATGATAGGTACTCACTACATGAGAGTTATGTCTTTTTTTGAACACTTTGAAAGCTCTATTTTGACAGGGGGCTGTCATGCTCTGCTTCCTGCCTTGCATGGTGAACACACACACAGGTGTTTATGTGTTATACTTTACAGAAAAAGGAAAAGTTAAAAAGACCCAAAACTGTATACAGGAAATCTACATATGAGGAAATATGTAGGTAAATGAAAACTTGCCTACTTGAAGGCAGGGGCTCCCGGTTAAAGGGACTCAGCAATTAAAAACTTCCATCCAGGACTTCCCTGGTGGTCCAGTGGTTAAGAACCCGCCTGCCAGTGCAGTGGACACAGGTTTGATCTCTGGTCTGGGAAGACCCCACGTGCTGTGGGGCAGCTAAGCCCGTGCTAGAGCCCCTGCTCCGCGACGAGAGGCCCGTGCACGGCAACTGGAGAACAGGACACTGCAGCTCGAGAGCGCCCGTGAGCAGCAACTAAGACCCAGCACAGCCAAACAGAGAGGCTCCCATCCATTACAGCCGTCAGAGCTGGTGACCAAAGGCCAGACCAATATTGGGCGGGCCAAAAAGCTCGTTTGATTCTGTCCCTAACATTCTATGGAAAACCCCGAATGAACTTATTGGTCAACCCAGTATAACTGAATCACTTTGCTATACAGCAGTAACGAACACAACATAGTAAACCAACTATACTTCAACTAAAAAAAGTCAATTACACACCACAAAGGTCTAACTTACTAGCACCTTGCCTCCCAAGTTTCCATGCATTTTTAGTACTAGACAAAGGCCCAACTTTTCAGCCCAACTTTAGTCCATGTCCCTTCTTTCACCACCATGTAGAAAGCAAAGTCTACCTTTAAATTAATAGCAATGGACAGTATTTATCTCTGACTAAGTGCTTGATATTTTCTTCACAAACGAGGAGGCATCTGACGATAACCTGGGAAGTGAGTGACAAGCTCATATAGGAACACTATTTTGGATACAAAACAGAAGGTGTGGCTATAGACATCATCTTTCCCAAAACTTCTCTGGAGGAAGGACAATTTAATAAGGTGGTTTAAAGTTCCCTGGGGGTTCTGGGATGTAGCCAGGACTGGCACCTTTGGTGAAGCTCTTTTCAAACTCTCTTGGTGATGATTCTCAAACTGCAGGGAAATCAGGGAATGTGTTAAAAATGCTGGTTCTTGAAAAAGAAACTTTATTTTCTATCACTTTTAATTTCGTATCTATATGAGATGATGGCTATTCACTCAACTTATCTGTGATAATCATTTCATGATGGAGGTAAATCAAATCATTATGCTGGACACCTTAAACATATATAGTGCAGTATGTCAATTACAGCTCAATAAAAATGGAAGAAAAGATAAAACAACAAGAATAATTTAAAAAATAAAATGCTAGTTCCTGAGACTTCCTTGGTGCTCCAGTGGTGAAGACACCATATTCCCAATGCAGGGGACTCAGGCTCGATTCCTGGTCAGGAAACTAGATCCCACATGCCACAACTAAGACCAAGCATAGCCAAATAAATAAATAAACAAACATTTAAAAAAAAAAAAAAAGGTAGTTCCTAAAAATGAGATAAAATTAATGCTAGTTTCTGGGCTCTGCTCCCAGGCAGTCCCAGGAGGAGAGGCCTCTGAGGCTGCATTTTCTTTTTTTCAGCCTGTATCTTCAATCAACCTTTTCAAGTGATTGAAGTACAGCTGTTTGGAAGCCCACAGCTGACAGACTAACTGCATTTGCTAAAACCAAGAGTCTTCCAGCTTTGTGGTCATGTGTCACAGGTCCCAGCTAAAGCTGCAAAAGCAGAACCAGGTCAGGCATCAGTCACCTCCCCACCTCAGATAGAGGACAATCAGCTCATTGCAACCCTGTGGCTACTGATAAGATGGTATCTGCCCAGGTGTGAGTGTCTTGGCCAGAAAGAGTTGTTAACAGGGCTCCTCAGACATTAACACCTCCAATAACTAGTTTCGGGGGAGAGGCTGGGAAGTACAGGTGCAATAGGCTGGGTGTGGAGTATTCTGGAAGCCTTCCAGAAAAGCAGACAAGGATGACTGGGCTTGCCTCCCCCTTCTAAAAGCCACAGGATGGAAACAATGAGTGAATGTGCTGGGGGGTTGGGGTTGTAGGAACGGAGCAGGTGTCCAAGATAACAGTCTTCACAATGAAAGGCCAGAGGCTAAAGACTCAAGAGTCCAGTTTTCTGTATCTTCCTTCCCTGTTACTCGAGGCTTCCCCTCCCTCCTGTTTTCCACGAGGACAGCTGAGACCCACACCTTCTTTCCACCTTCTTCTGGGCAGGGAAGCTCTCGGGTTGAGGCCAGGCCCTGGCTTATAAAGAAGCAATTGAGACAGGCTCATTTGAGGGGAAGGGGGGATTACAGCTGTCAGAGGCATTTTAGCCCAAGGGAAGCACTCCATTTCCTCAAGCCACGAATTTCAAGCTGCGGGTCAACAATCTAATTGCGAAACCCAGCATCTTTAACAAACTAAAATAGAACAGAAAATATCCAAATGCCCTTTAAGTGGTAGAGCACTCTTTCCTGAAAGTTTTGGTTCGGTTTCTCTTAAATAAATCAGCAAGCCTGTTCAGTGGGCCACGACGTTAAATGTATTTCATACTGCAGGATGCTGATCAAAGTTTAAGAGTCAAGGTCTCAGGCATGGCCACTTCTGATGGCTCGGATCCTGGCTTCTGACATCCACCTGAGCCACAGTGAGTCGACCCTAACAGTGGTCCAACTCACTTCCAAGAGTGCCTGATCAAGGAGGTCTGAGGGCTGGATGCCTGACAGACCACCTAAAACTCAGGCCCCCTGCAGCCTCTATCCCCAGTCCCTCAGCCCAGAGTGACACCAGGCAACCTGCCAAGCCCCCCTGAACCAGACCTGAAGACACCTGCTAGCCCAGCCCTTTACGGGACTCTGTGCACACAGGCCTGCAGCCCCTGTCCATGCTTGTGACTCACAGCGGTGCCCCCGCATTGCCCAAAGCCCCCTGAGCAGCCTCCCCACAAGCCCAGGGCCCCACAGGCTGCTAGTCTATGGCTCCGCCAAGCAGGAAACTGAGGCCTGTCCCCAGCCACAGGTGCCATAAGGGGCGTTGACCCACTGCCCACTCTGCACACCCAGCCTTGCCGTGGCTAGACACTGGTGACCACCCTGGGCCTGGGAGGGCCAGGCAAGGGGGTGCAGAGCCAGCGAGCAAAACCCAGCTGGGGTTTTTACACAGGAAGGAAGAGCAAGCCGAGGTGGGGGAGGAGGCTGAAGGAGTGCGGAAACGACCGCAATGTCAGCACCCAGAGGCAGTCTGATGGGGAGGCCGGCCCCTCCCCACCCCTGCCACCCAGTTCTGACCTTTGTGCTCAGACAAAACAGCTAGTCCGGACCCTGGCCCTCACCATAGCCAGCCAGGGTGGGGGGCAGATTTCAGAGAGAGTGGGGGATGAGGGGGTGATTGACCACAAAGGCCCTCCCTGTATACCCCCCCAAAAAGTCCAGTTCTTTCGAGGTGGAAATATTATGTGGGCAGAGGGTATCAAAGGGGCAATCTGGGGGTGCACAGAGGAAAGGCATCTTGGGAACCCCAACCCTTCCCTTCCCTCGGCTCAAGCAAGCACCAGCCAGGCCTGCTGAGGAAAGCAGGGGTGGCACAGAACTGGCCTCATGCACGACTGCCAGGCAGGTGGGGAGGAGACGAGAAGGGAGCGCCAGGGTCAGGGTAGTACCCAGGGAGCAGGGGAACCTTACGTTACTGATCTGGTCCTGGGTCTTCTTGATTCTCTGGAGCTCGGGTGTGTCTGCCACCACGCTGAAGCCTTTGCCCTTGTTCTTCTCAAACTCCTCCTTGTAGCGTACCTGGAGGACCAAGGTGGTGGAGAGGGATTAGAGTCGAGGCAGGGGTAGCAGACAGGGCTCCAGCCTGCAGCAAACAGCCAGGAGAGACCCTGACCAGAAACCCCCTTGCAGTGACATCCACTCCCACCTCCCACCTCCAGGCAGAAACCTTGGCCAAAAAGTATCAGAACATTGATAAGAAACTATTAATATGTATTCATATTTGGTGTATCCCGAGTGCCAAGAGCTTTACATGAACTGTCATTTAAGTCTTGCTCTAGACTATTGTTAGTTCCATTTTACAGACAAGGAAACTTGAGCCACAGAGAGGGAAAGTCACCTGCCCAAGCTCACACAGCTTAGCAGCACAAATTCAGAGCTAACAGGATGAAACTTTCATCTGCCTGACTCCTGAACCTTCACCATGGCTCATCCTGCCTGACAGCGAGAGGAAGAAGGTTCTTTCCAGAGCTCCAAGGACTGCCCCAAGCCCTCACCCTGGCCAGGATGTGGTCCTACCCGCTGAGAGCCTGGGGGAGTTTCTGAGTGAGGGCACTTGTGTCCTGGTGGACACACCTTTGTCCCTTGGCACAAAGTTGGTGCCCAGAAAGGAGGGCGCTAAGACAGACACTTGGAAGACTCAATCAATGAGCCTTTGACAGGCCCCGGTGGCTGCCCGGAGCCTGCCAGGCTGGCTTTTGAGGTCAGCACCACGGGAGGGGATGAAATGGGTGGGAGACAGACAGCACTTCAGGCTTCCAAGCGCCAAGAAAGACCCCTACCACCCCTTCCAATGCCCCCCTCTTCTGAGTATTCCATGGAAACTTGAGTACTAGAGGGACTTAAGTCAGACATTCAGAAAGGACTTCCCAAGCAGTAAAGGAACTGAAATATGAAAACTGTCCTCCCCTGAGGGTTTTGAAGAACAGAATGGAGGCTGGAAATGGCCCTGGGACAGGGATCTATCCCTCCGGCTTTCAGAGTCTTTACTGTCCACCTCGGCAGCAGCTGTTCCAAAGCCCGCCAGCTGCCTGGACTTCTTCCATGCAGGCTGCACTGTCCTGGAGGCAGGTCAGCCCAGGACACAAGGCCTAGGACCTTGGGAATTTCCAGGCCGCTCCCAGGCATGGAGTCATCTGGCCTCAGGGCTGAGATGCACCGTGACCCGACTGACAACACGCACCTGTCGGTTGCTCTGCACCCCCCAGGGGCTGGGGTCCCTGTCTGTCTCCAGAGCCCTGGCTCACCCATCCAACAAGGGTTTCTTGTCCCTAAAAAGTTCCAGAACCTCCTTTGTTCTGACCCAGACTGAAATAAAGGCCTGAATGTGCTAGGTCCCCTCAGACTGGAAGTTAACACAGTGGGTTCAGGTACCAACCCACCCCAAGGGCCTAGAACTGCCCCACAGCAGCTTTTCCAAGAAGGTCTGGGTCAGCACAGCAACTCTTAGCAGTAGGAGTGGGTTGGTGGGGAGACCCTTCTGGAAGCAGGCATCAAGAAAGGTAAAGCACTGAGGGTCAAAAATGCATAGCTCCAGATGCAGAGGCCCCAGATCTAAGACCTCTGGCCTTGATTTCCTCACCTCTAAGAGGACTGTCCATAATGGAGAGGGGGCTTCCTACCACCAAGCAAGAGCAAGGAGCCCGAGGGAGTTGGTATGAACACAGGCTGTCTCCCACTTGCTGAGTGATCTTGGGCAACTGATTTAACCTCTTGGGCCTCAGTGTCCACATCTGTAAAATGGGGATCATGACACACCCATTCTAATCAAAGATACAGGTGGCTTTAGAGCAACAAATACACATATGAAGCACACGGCAGGGTTCAATGTGCAAGGATAAGTGTTAAGTGTAGAGGTGCTTTGTCAAGTGCTGAACAAACGTCAGTCCCTGACTCCTTCCTCCACTTCCTGGCCCTCTGGAGGGTCTGGCCCCTAATCCAGGGGAATAATTGTCATGGCAACACTACAATGACATCAGCTGGTTCCCAGGATCAGGAACTGCCTCTCCCTCCCTGCTGGGGAAGGATAATTATTTCACTCCTGGCACAGGCAGCCCAGAGAGGGCGGGGCTGGAAAGAGCAGGGGGCAAGAAAGGATGGAGGCCTGTGCTCAGCACTGCTTTGCTACGTGTTCCTGGGCAAGTTGGTCCCCCTCTCTGGATCTCCTGAGAGTGGCCAGCCAGCTGATCAATAACAGTCCTCCTGGTTCTGGAGTTTCTGACCATATTTAAGCACCTGCCCCTGACTATGGAGAATCAAGGTGGGGAAGATTCTCTGGCCATCTGGAGCTGGAGTAGGTGGCAGAGGTAAATGTCAAGGACCCAGAAGTCTGGGGAGGGCCCCATGTAGAACCTCGCTCATCACCCAAGCTGGAGGGCTTGCCCCGCTCTGGGATGGCTCACCAGGATGTGACAGGGGGCTCTGAGCGGGAAAGTGACCTGCCCAAGGTCACTCAACCTGCCTTGTTGGTACATCAGGATGCAACTCAGGAGTCCTGTCTGAATGCTGCCTGCCTCCCACCCTGGACACTCCCAAAGTAGAGAGGGGAGTGATGCCTGAGGCCCTTCAGGCCTGAACAACCAGGGCCTAAGAAATTCTACTTTTCATATATAGATTTATTAATTATTCTCCCAGATTCTAGCTTGTTCATCACTTACCATAGCAAACAGTAGGTACCAACAAAGTTTTGTTAGGTAAATGATGAATGAATTGAATGCAGAAATAAAATCTCCAAACAGGCAGCATAAGTTGAAAAACAACTACCTTGCTGACCCAACATAAGAGGAAAGATCACAACTTAAAAATATATATATTGAAAAAAATGATACCAACAATTTCTACTTATTATGTACCTACCATGTGCTGACCCACATACTATGTAACCCACCCACTTCTAACAAAAAAGAAATTGTTTTAAGAGTAAACACACACAGATGGGGAGGAGAGCTAATGAAAAAGGTCAGTTCTGGAAGCAGTCATCAAAAGGCCTAATATTCCTCAGCTTGATCATATCCAAGTTCCAGCTTCTCTCCTTTCCAGGAGAATGGTAATAGTGAACATTTACGGAGTGCGGACTGTATGCCAGGAACTGTCCTAAATACCTAATGTATACTAACCTAATATATCACAATAACCTTTGGAGAGAAGTGATTCGTACTTTACAGATAAAAGCACTAAGGTTCAGAGAGGTTAAATAACTGGTCCAAGGTCACTGAACTACTGAGGACAGACCCAGGATTTGGCCTTCAACTGGCTCAGGTATGAGTGACAGGTATGCTGCCTACCCTGCAGGTTATAAGAGTCAAGGTAAGAGAGTGGGAACTTTGCACACAGCAGGGCAAGGCACAGGACTTTGCTACAGTCTCCCGTCCCCTGTGGTACGTGCCCCATGGCATTTCCCAAGCACAGCACCAAGGATGATGAGGGTAAAATTCAAGAGACCTTCTGCTTTCACTTTTGTCTGAGCTCAGAGGGCCACACAGACAGCTCCAGCTCAGCCCCACCCCAAAGCTGCTGCCTCCACTAGTCCCGGGGCTGGGGGTGGGAGAGCTGCCCTCTGCGGGTAGGGGGTGGAGGGCTGCTAGGCCCTCATCACCAGGGCTCTGCCTCAGCCAGGCCTGGACGGGCCCACCCAGAGGGTCATTTCTGGTCAGCCCTGTGGTTATCCGCCCCCACAAGGGAGGCTCCAGGTGTCCCAGACACCGAAAGTACCACTTTGGGAACCAATCTAGAAATAGGAAAACGAAGTTGAAATAGCACAGGCAACTTTCCAGAGACAGAAGAGACACAGACACCAACGCAGGCCCAGAAAGGGGCCTGGAAGGAGACAGGGGCTGACCCCCGGCGGGTGGGGCGGGCTAGGTAGGGAGGCTCCCGCTTCCCTTCCCACTTCCCTTCCCGCCACACCAGGCGGCCCAGCCCGCACGACCCACCCGGCCCCCACAGGAGCCACAGGAACCAGAACTGTCACGGCCCACCGCCCCCAGCCAAGCCCACTCAGCCCTTCCAAGCCTCAGAACCTCGGGCCCAGCCCTCAACATCTAGGCAACTGGACTTTCTGTCCCCATCTTACCAGGAAAGAAAAGAACACTGAGGCAAAGGGGTGAGACTGAGACCACACAGCCCGGGGAAGCAGGAGACAGAACCAGACTTGCAAAGAGGACAGGACCCCTCTTCACCCTCTGCCTATCCCAGCCCCGAGCCCCAGCCCTCAAGAGCCCAACTGCAGGAGATTAGAGCAGTGGTCTCAATGCAAAGCCTCAGCTCACACCCCTCACAGCAGCTCCTCACCTCCCTCTCTACCCCACAGCCTGGCTCTAAGCCGCTCAGAGCAGGTCTGCAGGACCAAAAGCCCTCATCAGAATTGCCAGGGCTGCCCAAGTGCAACTCCCTGGGCCTGGCCCAGAAGTGGCAACCAAAACCCCCTTGGGTGGGGCCGAGGACTCTGCATTCTAAACGCCACCCTCATCCCCTGCACCATCCCCCTGGTGGCCGAGAGCAAAGGGCCTGACTTCTGTCAGGGAGCTGGCTCTGCATGGCCTCTAACCTGTGTCCCCATCTGTAGCAAGGGGTCAAGACTCCCTCCATCATCAAGGTGGTTGTGACGACTGAATGAGGTCAGGCCCGGCCCCCTGTGATGACCCATGAAGAGTGACTGGCCTTCTCATGACCTCCCCACCCTCCCAAGAATCAGGAACCCCGAGAACAGGCAGTGGGCCAGGCCCCTGGAAGACAGGGTGGGTCTGGAGGTGGGCAGGGGGTGCCTCCTCCTACAGACCCCGCCCCTCAGGGATGGAGTTCCACAGGCAAAAAGAGCTGCAGTCCAGCTTTTGTGGGACAGACAAAGGCTAAGGGAATTAGCAGGGTTTGAATTTCTCCTCCTGAGAGTAGGTGTGTGTGTGGGGTGTATGGGTCCCTTGCTTCTGCCTGAGTGTGTACACACACTCCCACGCTCCTTTCACGCTGTCACCCCACAATGCTCTGACCTGCTCTCCCCATGAAGCCCCTTCTCCCCGGGATGGGGAGTCCCCAGGGCGGTTGTCAGGGCCTGACCAGGGCATGCCCTATGCAGATCAGGCCCAGGCCCAAGTGCCATCTCAAGCCTTCTTCCTGCCAGCTGAGCCACCCAGCCCTCCTCAGTCAGCTGGGCTCTGGTACCCACATTAGCTCCCACAGTGACTGCGGCTTTCATACCACAACAGTGGCGGAGCCTGGGCTGGTAGATGTGAGCTGCGCCAAGAGCCAAATTAGCTTCCCCTACCTGCCCCCAGGTGGCTCAGTGGTAGAGAATCTGCCAGTGTAGGAGATGCAGGAGATGTGGATTCCATCCCAGGGGTCAGGAAAATCCCTTGGAGAAAAAAATGGCAACCCAGTCCAGCATTCTTGCCTAAGAAAACCCACAGACAGAGGAGCCTGGCCGGCTACAGTCCATGGGGTCGCAGAGTCAGACACGACTTAGCACGCGTGCACCTGCTCCCCCATCACGGTGGGATACACGGGAGGCCTGAACCCCTGGCCTCACAGGGCTACACAAGGTCAAGGTCACTGTACTTGGGAGTGAAAAAAACAAAGCCTGGATCCTGAAAGCTCACTGAGAGTGCGTGTCAACAGGCAAAGTCCAGTGCCTCTCAGAGCCTTGGTTCCCTGTCTCTGACGCCTGGAGTCAAGTCAAGGATAAATGAGGTGAAGTAACTGAAATGTTTGCTAACCTATAAAAGTTCTCACCAACAGGAGGAACTATCATGTTTATTTTCAAAGTAGAGATAGTTCTCCTTAGGGAGTTGGGTGGAAAACTGGAAAGAATACAAGTCTCAGACAAACCGGCATTTAAAGTCATTAGCACCTATTTCCTCTTCCGTAAAGTGAGAGGGATCCTGCCAACTGCACAGAACTATTGTGAGGCGTGAACGCTAACACATCCAGAACACCAAGCACTCCATACGTTAGCTACTAATACAGTTATTACCACTACTGCTACTTGTATGATTTCAGCAAGCCCCTTACTGTCTCTGAGCCTCAGTTTCCCCATCTGTACAATGGGAAAACAGCACCTTCCTTGTAGGTTGCTGGGAGGATTAAAGGAGAGAATGCATGTTAAGCCTTTGCCATTCCAGGACTAGTTCTCCTTCATGTGACCAAATGGGAGACCGGGAGCCAGAGAATTCACATCAAGATCAGGCAGCAAGAGCCCCACCTGGAGTGATCAGGAGGGATCCCCCCTGAGGCCCAGGTGGATCCTCCAAGACATATTCCTGGCCCTGGGCACCCTGCCCACTTGGTAACATCCCCCAAGAGGTCTTTGCTAAAGCCCTGCCCTGTCCCACCCTACAGTCCGGGCCAGGTTTGTCCTGGAATCTCTCTCAGACCCCCAGTCAGGGTAAGTCATTCTGATCGAAAGGTTCTGGACCTTTTGCTTATTCCTCAGTGACCCCTAAAGCCCCAGCTCTGACCCTGGTGCAGGAGCCCCGTCTCCTCCCCTACTGCAGTGGCAAGCAGGGCTCCCCCTGAGGAGGGGCGCAGGAAAATCAGGCCAAGGAGACGTGGGCAGGACAGGCCCCTGGGGCAAGGCTCCCTTAGCAGCCTGCCCTAGGACAGGTAGAGGAGGGCTGGGAACATGCCTAGAGGATAGACTGTGTAACTTCACTCTCCCTGGTCATTCCCTGACCAGGGATCAAACGTGTCCCCTGCAGTGGAAGGGCTGAGTCTTAACCACTGGACCGCCACCCCAAGGACCTTCCTTTGAGGATGGGTGTGAAAAGACCCAGAGAGGGGACCAGCTTCCTGGAGGAGGTGGGCTTTAGGGGCCTCCCACAAAATTCCTGATGCAGAAAGAATCTGAAACCCACACCCCTCCAACCCACTTTAGGTAGGGGGTGGACGGGCACACTCTCGCCCACTTTACATTTCCTGATCAAGTCAGAAAATGTAAAGTAACTGGGGGTGGGGGCAGGGAGACTAGGCAAGTGCTTGGATTTCAGCACCTTGCTGAGTAACCACAGAAGGAAGGAGCTCTTGCCAAATCCAAGGGTGGCCCCGCCCCACCCAGGTCAGGCCCCAGCTCTAGCCCCACTCCCTCACCTGACTCTGCAGCTCACTCTGTTGCTTGAGGCGGAGGTTTTCCGGGGTGTCAGCCACCATGGTGAAGGACTGCTTGGGGTAGTGTCTGCAGGACAGAAAACAAAACAGTAGGGGTTCATTCTAGGTGAGAGGCTGGGAACTTCTGGGCTTTTCACCCCCTTATCCTTGGGTGGTCCCTACCCCAGCATCAGGACCATGGTGCCCACCACCCATGGCTGCAGGGAGGCAAGTGTTTCTCACTCAGCCTGGGCTGAACTGGGAAGTTACATCAGGTCTGAATGGTGGCCACCAAGAACTCCACAGGAGGCCATGGAGATTCTCTAAGAGTTTCAGATCACCCAAATAATCCATGTCTACTGCACAGGGAGGTCAAGGGGGCCAGGCACTCAGGAGGGGAGAAGATGCTCACGGGCTCAGGACAAGGCTTTCAGCTGAGACCAGAAATGGAGACCAATGAAGCAGACGAAAGGTGGGAGGGAGACAGAAACAGAAGGGGAAAGGGACATGCAGATGCAGGGGGGGGCTTTCTGGAAAAGGCAGTGAGAGAGAAAAAAGGCACCGGTGTTTCAAAGGGCAAACAGGGTCCAGCTTAACCAGAGAACAGATGAGAGATCGCTTGAGGCCAGAGAAGTCCCCATGTGACAGATAACAACACTGTAACCACGGCTGATGTTCCCTGGGCTAAGGGTATCCATGCCCTAGTTCACCAAATTCCTAAAATCACCCTATTGTCTCCCTTTGACAGATGGGAGAGAGCAGCTTGGAAAGGTTAAACAGTGTGGCCAAGGCACAGGGCTAGTGGAGGCATCCAGATTTGTTCCCAAACCATGTCTCAGGACCCAGTATCCTGAACCCAAACCTTCCAACCTCCAGACACAGGCCAGCCCAGGGTCCTATCCCCCAGAAGGCCTGGCTTGGAGGTGGCAGTAGCCAGGGCAGCCCTCAGAGCCAAGCCTGCCAGGACCTCCAGGGCCATCTAGTCCAAACCCCTCATTTCCTCGAGAAGAGGCTGTGTGCTGGTGCCGGGCACTTAGCAGACTTCATGATTATTTATCACATCAGTTGATTGTCTTTTCTCCACTAGTTCTCTGAGGTAAGAGGGTTCTCAGTGTTTTTTCTTCACTGACTTATCCCCAAACAGAAATCTGGTGTTCAGTAAATTTTTGTTGAATAAACAAATGTCCTACACGGGCTGTTGAAGCTGAGCCAGGATTAGAACTCAGGTCTCCTCCATCGCCACCCCTCTGGGTCCCTAGAAAACTAGCTAGAGAGGCAGCCCTGAGTCACTATGGTCTGCGTGCAGGTGCTGGTATGCGAAAGGGCTGGGGGTCCACAGGGGCCCCAATGATTTCAGGGACTGGCGGGTGGCTTCTCCAAGCAGGAGCCAAGGGCGGGCCACTCTCAGCCCTGGCTGACCACGCCTCACCTCAACTGTGACCACGGCCTGGTGCCCAACTCACAGGCTATCCCCAGGTAAGAGACGGATCACCCGCTTCCAGCCACCCAGGTTGGCTGATGTGCTGTGGAACTGGTCACCAGCAGCCCTCCTACCTCTGTGGGTTTCATCAAGCCTGGCATGTTCTCCAGCCGCCTGCCCCCATCCTGAGCCAAAGCTATCAGTAATCACACAACTTCCCCGTGTCAAGGGCAGGACTCAGGTGCTAGAGAACCCAACTAAATGGGAGAGGAGCAGTGGCTAGAAGGAGCCCAGCCCTGCCACTGCCTTCCAGGGTGACTCGGGCGAATCTTTTCTTCCCTGTGAGCTGTTTCACCATCTTGGACCTAGAATCACAGCAAGGTGATTTCACCTGTGCCCCATTCTACCAGGCAGATCCAGGTGAAATGCCCCAACTCCTAGCCCCCACTGCCCACCTGAGTCCTTCCTCCCAGATCAGCCCAGCCCGTGGCTCCCTGAGCAGTGGGAAGAGTGAAAGAAGAGACTGTTGCTGCTGCTGCTGCTGCTAAATCACTTCAATCGTGTCCAATTCTGTGTGACCCCATAGATGACAGCCCACCAGGCTCCCCTGTCCCTGGGATTCTCCAGGCAAGAACACTGGAGTGGGTTGCCATTTCCTTCTCCAGCGCATGAAAGTGAAAAGTGAAAGTGCAGTCGCTCAGTCGTGTCTGACTCGTAGCGACCCCATGGACTGCAGCCTACCAGGCTCCCCTGTCCATGGGATTTTCCAGGCAAGAGTACTGGAGTGGGATGCCATTGCCTTCTCCAGAGAAGAGACTAAAAAAAGCAAATACAGGTGCCTGCAGCTGGCAGCAGAAGTCTTCCATGGATGAAGGTGGGGCTAAGGCTGTAGACCCAGTCCCAGGTTTGGCCCAGCTCCACGAAGCCAGGGCCACCCACAGTGGAGAAGCTCCATTCAAAATTCCTGAGTTCCAGGGGGAGGGAGGATCAACTGGGAATCTGTTCCCGGAGCACAGAAGGAGAACAGCAGGAGGGATCTAAGTAAGATCTCTAGCAGGACTGGCAAGAGATCTGAGGTCAACTGAGAGAGGCTTTGGAGAGGACTCTCCCACCAAATCAGAGCCATTATGATAGCATCAAGGGCTGGTGGTGTCGTGAGGAGAGTGTCTGTAAGTGGAGGCTCATGAGCATAGGAGGGAGGTCAGGTCCAGAAGCAGGGGGCTGGAGAAGACCTTCAGGGTGGCTCTGGCCCAGAACTTGAAGAGTCAGTTCAAAGAAGATGGTGTAATTATCATTTGATGGGAAAGCATTTGTCTGGCAGGCTCAGAAAACACATATGCACAGGAGCCAGTCTGCCAGCCTGCAGTTTCCCATTTGCCTGAAGGTACAGGGTTAAAATGGGAGTGCCGGGTCCAGTGGTCCAAGGTCAGCCAGACACAGACACCTGCCGTGCCCCCACTCTGCAATTCTGCGGCTCCTGAACGTTCTGCTACTCCTCACACGTGGTGAATATATAGACAGGCCTCTGCAATGCTCATCTCCTAGATGCCAAGGCCAGCAGGTCCACATTCACACATCTACAGTCCACCAGAGGCTCTCAGGAGACCCCCCACCATGCAGCAGGAGTCTGCATGGATGGGGCTGGCAGATATTTCATTCTCTCTTGGGAGCCACCATGACCCCAAGATCTCAGCGCCCCCACCTGGGGCCAGAACACTAATCCCATCAGAAGGGAAGGGGGAACCAGCCTGGATGTCGTCAACTCAGCTCAGTCTGGAAGGAGGAGGGGGATTTTAAGCATCAGATTAAGATAGATTAAAGGGGGGCTCTGGAGCCACCGATCTCTTACCCCTGCCTCCTAAACCCCAACCCCAGGTCAGAAAAAGGCAGGCAGACATAAGCATGGGCTATATTCCTCTTGCTGGGTCAACCCTGTCCCCTCCCACAGCCCCCAACCCTGGCGAGACAACTCTGCCTTTCCTGTCCCCTGCTCACTGCGCTTCGGGTTCCCATGGCAACCTCATCCTCAGCTCCAGGCAGCAGAGCGGCTGAGAGCAGGCAGACAGAGCGAGTCTGTGGGGGTGGGGGAAGAGACACAGACAGCCAGGGTATCCTCAACTGCAGAGGAACCCGTGAGGGCAAAACTGGGAGGCTGTGTCTGCAGGATACTTGTAGACAGTTCAGATGAGGAAGACGTGAGCCCCAGGTTTGTTTTCAGGGCAGGACCCAAGAAGGCCAGGGCTGTGCCCCTCCCCCACCAGCACGACTGTCTTCAAGAGGGCTACAACTGATGTGACCTCCTCCCAGAAACAATTAATTGCTGGGGATTCTACCTTTTCCCTCCCTCTCCATCTTCAGATTGAAGCTCCGCCACCCTCCCTCATTACTACCCTCAGATCCCAGTCGAGATGAATGGAAATATGTGTATCCCAATGTAGGCGCTAGGGCAGAAGAGAGGTCCCCCACCCCAGCTAGTGACCCCACTGGTACCGCAGCCCCAAAAACAGCCTGCGCCCACACAATGAGAGAACGAGGGGCCAGGGTGGGGAGAACCAGGCCTCCCAACCCTGGCCTGGAGCTGGGTCCAGAGCACAGCTGTTCTTTGTCCCTTCTGTGGGCCAGCCTGCACCCGGCCCCTTGTTAATCATTCCCAGTGGCAGGCCCTCTGCTGATGTCCCTCCCCACCCTCGTGGCAGTATCAGCTGCTCTGGGAAAGAGAGGGACGGAGACAGCCCACTAGGACAGGAAGCCTGGGGGTGGAGGGTGCAGGGGAAGGGATCTAGCATTCAGGAGGGCAAGAACAGAGTTGAGCAAGATAAGCAGGCACCTGGCAGCAGCCCAGGCCTCTGGGAGAAGTCAGAGTCATGTAAAGTTACTTCAGGATACATTGTATCCTATGCACATTCTCCCCAAACCTGCCACAAGGCTTTGGGCGAGAAAAGGCAGGCATTATCCCTGTGCCCATTTGACAGATAAAGAGGCTGAGACTCAGTGTCAAGGACAGAGATCTGGCCCAATGCACTCTCCTCCATTCCACACATGTCTGGACAGCTAAGGGCAGATTGACTTCCCTCCCCCAGGTGAACACCAGCCTACTCCTAGTTCTGGGGAAAGAAATGCTTGGTTGGGTGGGTGGAGAACTTCCTCTTTTAAAGCCAACCAGTTTCCAACCATGGCTATTCTAAGACAACCGTCTGGGGTCTCTCAGCCACCCCCAGCACCTACTCCTTCTGACATTTCTAAAGCAGGTTCAGACAGTGACCTCGGGGCGGGGGGCAGTGCAGAAGTGGGGGCTCCCCCAGAGGACCTCTGAGTCCCCTTCCTGCTTGAAGGGACTGCAGGGCTCCTGCAACGGGCTTACTGATGACAGGGATCGCTTGGAGGGCAAAGCCCTGTCCCTAGTCCCACTATCAGCCGCGTTCCAGACACAGAACAAGAATAGACCAGTATCCTGGAAGCCCAGTACCCGCTTTCGACAGGCAGCCTTGCCCCTTTCAGCCTTGGATCCCTTCAAAAGCCACAGCTTTTTGTTCAAGGAGGAACAAAAATACAGCAAAAAAGCAACAACGAGCCTTTGGTTTCGCCAAAAGGGGAAAAAAAAAAAAAGAAAGAAAAACAACCCACAGCCCTGACATCCTGCCTGTGGAAGGAGCTACTGATCCCCCTGCTGGGAACACTGCCCTTGGGCAGTCAGGGAGGACTCCCCTCTAACCCTGTTTTTCACCAGTCCCCCAGGCCTAAGGGGCCAAACGGTGGGGACAGGAAACAACAAAGAGGCATTGTCTGACCAGAGGAAAAAATGAGCAGCTGGAAAGATCAAGGCTAGACAAGAAGAAGAACTGACCAGCCCTCAGGGGTTGTAGATAAAATGAAAAATCAAAATCGATGGCAATACACAAAGAGAAATGATCATGTCTAGTCAGGAAAGGCATGGAAACACTGGGTTTCAGTTTCCTCATCCATAAAATGGGCTGTTCGGAAGCAAAGTGATCCCTGAGGTTTCCTGAGGCCCTGACGTCTCAGTGTAAGGAGCTGGAAGGTGAGAGTGAGGTGGGGGCTGCCTAGAGGTTACTATGTGTGCCCCTTTGGACTCCCTGCCCCCCTAAACATAGCATACACACCCCTTCCTACTCCCTTCTCCTGATCTCACTTTTCCCAGTCAGAGGCAGAGAATTCTGGGGAGGCAGGAGAGCCCCAGACCCCGGTCCTGGATGTGCCTGCCACTGCCCCATCCCCAGTTAACTAGACTCCAGAGATACTTCAAGCCCCACCAGCACAAGTCCCACCTCACCCCCGAGGCCTAGGGAAAGGACCACAGTCTCTCGTTCCCTAGAACCAGGGACACCTCCACCCTCCTCAGCCCCTGAGCCCACAGCTCAAAAATACACCCTCCCTAGGTGGGCTCACTCCCTAGCAAAGGGCCTGGGGCCAGGAGTGATCACTTGTCCCTCTGGGTCTTGAGCAGGAAGTACTGAAAAGCCAGGCCTGAGCGTCACACAGCAAGGCCAGGCTGGGAACTGGGGCACAGCTATAGCCTAGAAATCCCGAGACTGGGGAACCTGAATGTCACGGGTGGATGGGGTCAGAGGCAGGAAGAAAACAGGAAGGGATGAGAGTGAACACTCAGCACAGTGCCTGGCACAGCACAGTTGTTCAGTAAAACTGGTCTAGGCTCCAGCATCCCTAGGTGGGAATTTTGAACCACGGGATAACTGAGGACCAGACAAGTCCAGAGTGTGCCCAAAACAAGCTGGGCCTGCATCTGAGATACCCCAGAATCCCTTGTCTGGCTCACTGGCACAGCCCAGCCACTCAGCAGACTCTGGCTTAAGGGAGTGTGGCTGCCTCAGGCAAGGTGCTGCCAGAGTTCCCAAGAAACACAGCTGGGTCACAAATTCCCCAAGTCTTTGGCCCCTCCTCCTGGGTCCTTCCCAGGTAACAACCCAGCTAGATCAAAGGTCAGCTGGGCAGGAAGAATAAGAGCTGTGAAGGCTGGGGGAACAGAGAGGGATCAACCTGCTGTTCTGGCTGGAGGCCAGGAGAGGCAGGAGAATTTCACCCTGGGCAGGTGGGAAGCAGCATCTGGGAGGGGTGTGTCATCTTCTGCCTTCCCTGGAGCCCCCCAAGCCCTACAGGAGCTCCCCACCCCTACTGGCTGCAGCCTCCTAGAAAAGGGTGAAAAAAGTAAGCTGGGACTTTTTGGTACTAGGCTGAGAACACACAGAGAAAACAAGGACAAGCCTGATTTCTTCCTCCAACTCCCAGAGCTCACTGAATTCTAGGCTACCAGAGTCTCCGGAAGAGACAGAAGACGCCTCAGTCCCTGCTGCCCACTGAGTTCTGGGCTCCGCCAGACTCCTGCCTTGAGGAGCAGAGGCTCAGAAGCTGCCCCCAAAGGAGTCTCGTGCCCAGAAACTAGCCTGAAGTGGGCCAGCAATCAAGGGGTTAACCGCCCCAGCCTCTGGCTTTGCCGCACCCCACCCCACTCCCCAACAGAGGGAGGAAGTGGCAGAGAATCAGGGCTTGTGTGAGCCTTTAAGAATTTGAAGAATGTCCCATTTCCCTTGGGGGGAGGATGGGAGGGGTCGGCAGGGGAAAGAGGACCAGTAGAGCTAATAGAGAAGGGGCAGCTGAAGGAGGAGCCAGGACCTAGCTGTGACCCTCTCTCTAGCCCAGGCAGTCTCCCCAGCGTCCCAGTCCCTCCCAGAAGGGAGGAGGTTCATGGTGCTTCTTGGGCTTGAGATTTTATCGGTTTTCCCAGCACCTGGCACAGGTTGGCATCTAGCAACCGGCAGGCAGTAAGTGCCTGATGCAGGCTCCAGCCAAGGAGATGAGGCTGTAGTGTGAGCAGGGAGGGGAAGACAGGAAGGGGGAGTTGTTGTTCAGTTGCTAAGTCATGTCCGCTTCCTTGTCCTTCACTATCTCCCGGAAGGGGGAGACAGCCATTCAAAGGGGTTTAAGACCCCAACTCCTTTTAGACAAATCCCAAAGCTCCCCTCCTATGTGAACTTCAGCTGTACAAAGCCTCCAGGCTGAGAATTTAAAAAGGTAAAAAACAAAAAAAGGACTCGGACGTCCCTGGTGGTCCAGTAGCTAAGACTCTGTGCTCCCAATGCATGTGTCTCGGGGTTCAAGCCCTGGTCAGGGAACTAGATCCCACATGCCACAACCAAAGAGTTCACGTGCCACAACTAAAGATTCTGCATGCCACAACTAAGACCCAGCATAGCCAAATAAATAAATACAGAAATAGTTCTTTTATAAAGGGACTCAAGTCAGATCCTAAATTTTTTTGAATGCTGACCTTGCCGCCTACTTAAGTGACTTGACCTTCCAAAGCCCCCCCACAGAGCAGCAAGGCTGTGAAGTCCTACATGAGCCCAGACCTGCACATGATCAACCCGAAGGCACTGCATTCTCTGAAACTGCATGGGAGGGGACAAGGTGTCTCCCTAGGATGGGAGACCCCACCTCGACCCACCTCTCCACAGCAGGCCAGAGCAAACTCACACTGGAAAAGACACAAAGTTCTCTGCCTCCCTCAGCAGGCAGCGAAGAGCTCTGCCTAGGGTCAGGCCACACCCTTCATGCTGCTCCCCAGTCTCAAGAAATGACAGTCAGGGGGCCCCCAGGCCCAGGGCCTAGATTCTCTGGTAGACAGGGCAGGGGAGAGGTGACAAGTCAGCTGCCGTCACAGTGAGAATGTGGAAGGTAACTCGGAGAACACAACAGGCCAGAAACAGGACCTTTTCTTGAAAGACCACGTGGATCCGTCCCTTGCAGCAGAGTGCGGTGGAGAGAATAAGCTAGCTATACAGGGACTTAACCAGGCTCTCGCTAGTCATTCATCTTGGGAAAGTCCCTTCCCTTCCTCAAACCTCAGTTTCCTGCTCTGTAAACTGGGCATATTAACAGTCCTGACTATCATCCAGCCGTGGTAAAGAAGACTCAACACAGTTAAAACGTGTGGAGCAGAGTGTGGAAATGCTGGGCCCTGCCACCTTGTGGGTATCAGAACAGAAGGAAGCTCTGAAAGTGAAAGTGAAGTCGCTCAGTCGTGTCCGACTCTCTGCAATCCCATGGACTGTAGCCCGCCAGGCTCCTCTGTCTGTGGGATTTTCCAGGCAAGACTACTGGAGTGGGCTGCTATTTCCTTCTCCAGGGGATCTTCCTGACCCAGGGATAGAACCCAGGTCTCCTGCACTGCAGACAGGCGCTTTACCATCTGAGCCACCAGGGAAGCCCTAAGTGCCCGCCCAACAGCCCCTGCCCGAGGCGGACTCACGCGTTGCAGTAGGGCTTCTTCTCGTAGCCCTTGTAGTTCTTCATGTTGAGGGTCATCTTGCAGGTCTCGCAGTGGAAGCATGCTTTATGCCAGAACTGGGGGCAGAGGCAGAGGGAGGACACCGTCAGATAAGGAGGATTTAGGAAGGGGGATCAAGCCCCAGGAAGGAGCATTCCTCTCTGGGACTGGAACAGACACCACCACCCCACCCCCCCATAGAAGTGAGCCAAGGACATCTCAGGTCACGGGCTCCAACAGCTGATGACACCTTCCTCTGTCCCACTGATCCTGTCTGCAGGGGAAGAAGGGCAGCCCCCAGAGTGAGTGGGGAAAAACTACCCCCCTGCACCCCCCCCCAAGACTGGCTTCACCTCCCCCAGACCACTCCTGCAGCCTGCCTGCCTGAGGAGGAGAAGCCTCATTGCTTATGCAAAGCTGCACCAGGCGTTGCTACTGATGACACCTTCCTCTGTCCCACTGATCCTGTCTGCAGGGGAAGAAGGGCAGCCCCCAGAGTGAGTGGGGAAAAACTACCCCCCTGCACCCCCGAAGACTGGCTTCACCTCCCCCAGACCACTCCTGCAGCCTGCCTGCCTGAGGAGGAGAAGCCTCATTGCTTATGCAAAGCTGCACCAGGCGTTGCTAAGAAGCCGCTGCTGCTGAACATTGAGGTGCAGCGCCTCAGCCTAGACAAGGTCTAGGGGGACAGGAGGGCCCAGCCCCCATGCACCCAGGCCTTCCCAGATCCCACACCAGACACACGTGAGCCTGGGCAAGGCGCCAGCCCCAATGCCTCCTCTTCTTGAGGGACCCCTGCCCAGAGTATGGGTGAGTGCCCCAGGCTCTAGACAGTACATCCACATCACTTCCCTCCCTCCCCTCACCCCTCTCCCATCCCTCAGCTGGTCTCATCCCTCAGCGGGCCTCCCTCAGAGGCAATAGAGCTTTGCTTGGAGGTGGATCCCCCACCTGCATAGTGGGCATCACAGCCCCACCTTGGCTAGCTGGGTGACCTCGGTCAGGACCCACACCTCTGAGCCACTTCTGTGTCTGCAGAATGGAAACCTTAATACCCATCTCTTTTGGGACTGTTGAGGTTTAAATGAAAAATCACACAAAATAAATAAATAAATGAAAAATCACCTATAAAACCTTCAGCACAGCACCCGGCAGCTCTAAGTACTCAAATGCCAGGTGCTGGGTGTGGCAGGGGTGACCCTCAGCTGAGGGGGCTGGGCAGGAGGTGTGTGAGTGCTGGGGTGCAGGCGGGGCTCTACTGTGCCCAATCACAGCTAGAAGACCTGTGAGTGAGACTGAGTGACCAGAAACACCCCAGCAAAGGCCAGGGACCCAGAACAGAGCGAGGATCAATCCAGGGCCGCCAAGGGAGGGGAATAGCGTCCAAGACCACGAGGGCAAGGGAAGTGATGTAACAGAGGTGACCCCATCCTGAGAAATGCTGAAGCTCGAGAAAATCCCGGCAGATGAGAGACTCACCCCCGGCACCTGGCAACCCAGGACGAGGCCCGGTGATAGCACCTACCAGGAGCCCAGCTTCCAGGGCCCCAGAATCTGGGCTGCTGGGGTGACCCAGCTGGCCTTTCCCTGCCCCCTTTCCCAGGAGCCAAGGGACATCCTCCTGATTCCTCAGAGAATGAGGCCAGAAGCCAGGGAAGGGCATGGGGAGACTTTCAAGGTACCCAGCAAACACCTTGTTTTTGGCCACCTATCAAGAAATTCCCCCGAGGTAGTGCTTTTCAAATGTAATTCCCAGCCAAGAGGTGCTTCTGGGCCACTTAGGAGAAAGGGACAGAAAAAAAGGTTAAGAGGTTGGGATACCACCTCCCTAACCCTGGCCCGTGTTGACCAGAGCCCACAGGGTAATTGTGTGTGTGTGTGGGGGGGG